AAAAAAATAAAATAAATAAAACCTTAACTTTACTTAATTATTGTTTGGACATACTGAAATAAATGAGGACATGATTCTGCCAAAATCTAACTACATCTCAAATACATAATTATGTTTATAAAAACTCTTATGAAAAATACAATTACCTTTCAACCGGAATGCAAAAAATTAAAGAAGTATTGAACTATTGTAAGTTATTTGAGGGCATTTGTCTTCAAAATCAATCAATAGAAAATGGATTAGAGAATTAATATCACAGAATAAAGAGTCCTTGGCCCTGTTGCATTGTTACAGATTCAAGCTCACATGAGCTTCACGCTTGTTTTGAGCTTTTAGTAATGCAATTGTCTGTTGTCCCTTTATGTCTGTGCAATGTCTTTTGTCAGTTACATGTCTATAAGTCCAGTGAAAGTTCTGGTCAGGCTACAGATGCTGTGTAGCATCCTGACAAGTGGTTTCTGTCTGAAAGTTACAGGTGTACATCTTTGCCCCTTGTAGAGGCCACTAGGATAAAAAACCATGTCTATTGTAACATAATCTAATGAACCAGTAGATGGAACTTCACCAATTTTGGTCAAATATAGCAAAATATGGTCATTTGTTAAGTTTTATAAAATTTAATTGGGCTCCCCTCCCTTTTAATAACTGCAAAGGCTGTTAATAAATGTGATTTTATGAAAGATAATTTTAATAAGATAACCTGATAAACTTGGACTGTATAGCCAACCCTCTGTAATAGACTTCTGTCAATTTTCTTCAAATAGATTTGGTCAACTATTTTCAGCGGCCTACGTAGAATAAAATAGATATTAATAGGCTGGATTATCCCCAAACTAAAAAGAATTTAGCATCTTTGGAAAAGAAATGTCTTTAAAATGGCTTTGGCCTTATTGGTTTAACAATTGAAGCAAAAATGAAACAACTTTGATTTTTAACCAAAGAAAAACATTGATTTTGGTGAGCAATGCAAGGCCATCACAGCCCTCTTGTTAATTTACTTTTTTTGTAGTGATTATATTTGCATATTATAGCATATGTGATAGAATTGCTTGTTTGAAAACTTTATTAACACATTTAGTTTTTGTTGTTTTACTATATAGAAATAAATACTACATATAAAATTGTGCTTGGAACTGCTAGCATTTAGCAATTAACTAACTTTTTATTTTCTAATCATGATCATACTGATGTGATAGTTTGATTCAATGTTGTTGTTGTTATTGTAATGAGCTAATTTGCCTTAACCTGCTGGACCAGTAAAAGGTTTGAAGCTTTGCCACTAGTATAGAGCTGGGTCAGGCTGTAGCACATCATTCTGTACAATCTGACTCGGCTCTATTCTGTTGGTAGCTCAGTTTTTGTATTTTGATATTGAAATTCCTTAAGCTTAGAATGGACTATTCCAAATTAAAAAGCATTGAAAGTCCATTACTCAGATTCAGCAGGTTAAGGGTTTAAGTTCCATTACAGTTACAGCAGTATTGTTTCAATCATCTACATATTAATCAAAAAGGTGTAATTATATATTATGTCATATTAAATTATGCAGTAAAATAACTTGGATGTTGCATACACATCTAAAATGATTTTGTTGATAAATATGCTAGCATTGGCATACATGCTACCTCTGTAGGACTGCACCCAGTCCAGCAGTATTTCATTTACAACATTATCAGTGCTTTCTCCTGTAGGGCTTTCACATGATAATTTTAAGGTCTATTGGGCAACAGTAATCTCTCAACAACAATCATATCTTCATCTCCCAAATGTTGATGCTCTGCTGGGGTTATACTGTACTTAACTTATACTGTACAGTCAAACCTTGACTATACAAACCAATTAAGGAAAGTCATATTTGTGGCCTCCTAAAAAGGGTTGTTTCATAATAAAAAGAGGTAATTTCAGCCAACAATTGATGGGAAGGAAAAGTTTATTTTATCTTGTCTGATAGTGTAAGAATGAACATTAACAAATGACCTAGCGGTACAAGTACTTGAAGCATGGGACAGACATAGCAGTTTTATGAGTCAAAACAATTACAGTCTCATATAGTTATGCATATGTTCTATAAACAAATTTATGATATTTTTTTTTACAATGTATTTCTTCAGTTCTTAAGTTAGATTTGTAAGTGATAGTTTAAATATAGACATAACTGTGTGAATGTAGCTAATTTTGTGCTGTTTTTGAAATAGAATTATACATATAAAATAAGGTTTCATACGAGGCCGTTTTCAGTCAATGATTGTTGGGTTGTTGATATGTGAACAAAATGGGTAAAATTTTGGTAGACATCTTTCAATAAAGGTTCAAAATTTACTTTTTATTTCAGGTCTACTAATTTAAATTTAAATGCATGCCTTGAAATATTACTACATTTAAAAAACACATGGATCCATTTAATCCATCTCACAATTATAAATCTTGTCATTTCTTACAAAGATTTTGGTGGGCTTACATTGTTTACATGTCTCTTTAAACCTTGGCCAGGAAAGGGGAACTTAAACTTAAAATATAGAATTTTTGCTGAGAATATCTTAAGATTCATGAGTTGGTCTTGTAACTTAACAAAAATTAGTTATCTTTGTTAAAATTGATATTTAGTTTATAAAGTATTTACTTAAGATGTAGGAAGCTATAAACTTATAGGCACACTTCAGAATCTTCCTGGAAATAACCAGTACTAAGCAATGAGTTTTAATTGACCGAGGAACAAAGAAAAATAGCCTGATAAAAAACATTCAGTCCCTTTTGATATTTAAATGTTCTGATTCCTTAACGTTTTACTCTCAATTTGTTGCATGATTATACTTTGCTGTTTGTTCAAATCCCAACTTTGACAGGAGCCTTTTAGTACTTCTAAGCTATCAGACTAGTTTATGGAACAGTAATGGTTCTACCTAAGTTTCAGTTAGTGCTGGAATAATGCATCTGACGTCTTCCTCCACCAGTACAGTTAGAAAATGGCCATATCCCATTTACAGTGTCCTGAGTGTTGAGTAACAACCTAATCTGTTAAGAGAAAAATACTCATTTATGAAATGATTTATTGACTGTATGATTTCAAACTCTTAAAAATGTAAAAGATTGGAAAGCTTGGTTGATCACTAAAAGAAAATATAGTTAATAAGGGATGTACCATCTTAAATGCTTTGTAAATGTGTCCTGAGTGTTGAGTAACAACCTAATCTGTTAAGAGAAAAATACTCATTTATGAAATGATTTATTGACTGTATGATTTCAAACTCTTAAAAATGTAAAAGATTGGAAAGCTTGGTTGATCACTAAAAGAAAATATAGTTAATAAGGGGTGTACCATCTTAAATGCTTTGAAAGTATCAGTCCAAACTTTTGCCTCATTAACTCATCATTTATTTCTACCAAGTAATTGAAGTAGAGTATACCAAACACATCTTGATTTTATTTTTCCTACAGATAGTGTTGAAATTAAAGTAGTACATTTATGACATTTGTTTCTGATGTTTAAAGACATTTTCTACAGTTTTATGAAAAAATAATCCTTTCATAGAATTTTCTAAATTTTTTGTATGATGAGTAAAATTAAATGACGAATTCAAAAATAAAAAGAAAAATATATGTTGACGTGTTGGATTTCTTGTAAAATAGCAGTTTCCATGGTAACCGTATATCTAAAAACTGTCAAAATAGCCTAACTGTGTTATAATGAATAGGAAATGTATAAGATAGCTTAAAACACACAACCAGCATTGTTTTATGCAAAGATAACCTTATCTAATGATTCTGTATGATACAAATGATAATCTGAACATATTTCTTTAAAAAATGATTTTTACATGTTCCTCAACCGAACAAAAAATGAGAAAAATGAACATGAATTCTCAGAATAATTAGAGATATTGAAAAAAGTGTTTCATAGAATTTTCTATTTTTTTTGTATATTGTGTAAAATTTAATGAAAAATTCAAAAAGAAAAAGAAAAATATATGTTGGCGTGTTGGATTTTTTTAAAAATGGCAGTTTCCATGGTAACCGTATATCTCAAAATTGTCAAAATATCCAAACTGTATTATAATAATGTATAAAATAGCTTATTACACTCACAATAAACATAATTTTATATAAAGCTTGCTTTATCTTAGGGTTCTGTATAAAAACAAACGATAATTTGGACATATTTCTTTAAAAAATGAGTTTTCATGCTTTTTAACTAAACAAAAGAAGAAAAAAATAAACATGAAAATTTTCTGTAAAAAATTAAAGCTATCACGAAATTTCTTTTATAGAATTTTCTACATTATTGATAAATCAAGTAACATTTGATTGTGGATTCAAAAATAGAAATAAAATATATATGTTGAAGTGTAAGTTTTTTGTAAACGGGCAGTTTCCATGGTTACCGCATATGCCAACTGTCAAAATTACCACGCTTTCTTAGAAATATCAGTGTTATACTAAATGTATTGTCAAATATAAAACATGTTGTAATAAGAATTTCTTTTTCTTTTGATGTTATATTAAGTAAATGATACTGATTTTTTTTAAAACATATCTAGGGCCATATTATTTTTTTTCACTCGACTAATTTAACATACCCGAACAGTAAGCGCAAGTATTCAGAAATGTACAAAGAAAATAATGAAATTCTGAACATTTTTGGATATTAATTTTGTTTTTTTATTCAACACTTTTAAAATATATCATTTTAAACTTCTTTGCCCAGTTGTCTGCCAGTAATCAAGTCGCGACGCACTTTTGTCACTATTATACCACAAGTGGGTGGGGTAACGCGCGCAGAATTATCATCAATGCTGTCGTACTAATGAACATTTAGAAATATCTATTCTGTATTATTTACTCATTATTTGCTTACAGCCGAAATTTAAACACTTATCCGAATAGTATTCAACTTTACCTTCATTTGAAGAGTAATTATCCGTGATTATCTTTCTTGGATGCGCATAACGATGCGCACAGAAAACTACCGAAAACGTCTTTAAATGATTAATTTTTTATTCCAGTTGACTGTGGGAGCAATTCTGATTCGGGACCGAACTCTCCACCTGGTGGGGTTCATCCTGCGCTGTCTAATGGGAATCTGAAAGAAGTAAGTATTAAGTGCTGTATTTTGCCATAACCCATACATGCCATAATGTTCCGGATGTCCGGGACCGTCCTGGAAATGTCCGGGACTGTCCTGGAAATGTCTGGGACTGTCCTGGAAATGTCTGGGACTGTCCTGGAAATGTCTGGGACTGTCCTGGAAATGTCTGGGACTCACTCCTGGAAATCAAGTGAATGTCACAGAGGTGTCCTGGGGATGATTTATGTCCTGGTTAAATAAATGTAGTTAAGAAATGAATAAAATGTAGTTGCAGAGGGTTGAAAATTTTGTCTATATATATATTACTATCATTTAGTTTCATTTGACATTCCTGGTTCTGACACGAAAACATTTATAAAAACTTTAAAAAGGATTCATTATCATATGCAATCCAAAGATCAATAGTTGGTGGTAGATTGACCACTCACTAGATAAGGTAATTGTTTGTCTCACTTGGCTTGGTCTAAAAATAACTAGTGTACAATGATATGAATATTTTATGCAGGTATAAGAAGCAGTTGCCATCAATTTGATTACTGATTTTCAAGTAAATAAAACACCTACCAAATAAGCAGAATGCTGATTTAATTATGATATAATTTCCTTAAGTAAATTTCTGGTACAAATTTAGAAATTCTCCTCTTCAATTCTTTCGTTACTAAAAAGAGAGTGTCTATTGTTAGCTTGTCTGGTTTGAAGAAAAATTTGAGCGTTGGTACTTTTGACCTGTAAAAACTTTAAAGGGCACCACTTAGGTTTTTTTGATGGGACTGGAAATATTAATGTAGGTCTAGACCAAAAACTTGTGTGGAAAATTTTATATCTTTCGTTCTCTCTGTTTTTGCTGAACAACGAAAACTGACCCAAAAATTTTTTTGAATTGAAAAATGTTTATGCTTTTCACTCAAATTGAGCTGAAAATAGTACAAACATTAGATTTTCAATTTATTTCTTAGAATATGTCTTAATTATATTTAGCATACCAGTTAATTTAGATTCTTTTATTTGACCATTTTCATGTTTGAATGTTGAATTCTGCTTGGAGGCGTGGACAGTATCTTGCATTTTCCAGCACTATCATGAACAGATTTTATCTAACCGAGCCTGCAACATTTTCAATTCTGTCATTTTTGGCCTTCTTCAGGCATTCTGTTTTTCTCTATTTAATGCTTTTGGTCCTCAGTGGAGTTCCTTTAATGTAGCCCATTACTCAAACATACAAAACTTTCGAATATTCTAATATTAAAAATCTGAACTTAATTTTTGTCAGTTTACAATTTTTAACTTGAAATGTATAAGGAATAGAAATCTTTATCATAAAATAAGATAAAGTATGATGCTGGTTTTTTGTATAAATATGACTGAAAAAAATTAAGCCAATTTTCCTGCAAAGAGATTGTAAATTCTATTAATGTAGGACACAAAAAAAATGTGAAGACTATATATGTGTATCATGATAAAAATCTAATCATTTATAACCACTGATAACTTTCTATTACTACTAGACCTTTTAATTAAAGAAATATTACCATGGTAACAGCAAAATATTCCAAGATTGAAAGAACAGTATTTAAATGCTTGGAAATTCACATATTGCCCACAAGATTTTTTTTGTCCTTTTTTTTTTCTTTTCCTTTTTTTTTCACCTACTCCTAAAATAGAAGAGTGTTTATGGATGTTTTAAGTATTGTAAAGTTGATTATCATTGCCTACATGTCTGCCTACACATTTGGTTACCACTATAGTAAACGTTTGTCACATTGATTTGCCTCCCATAGGAAATATCAACTATAATATCAATGTGCAGGAGTTTTTCAAGGATACCCAAAACAAATAAAATAACTTTTTTTGTAAAGTACAAACAGCATAGATCATTTTTGTGATCATTATTTATAAATGTTTGATGACAACAAAGTTCTTTAAGTTTTAGGTAATATTTTTTTTAGAGAAAAATGTTTATAAGTATCATTTTTAGCTCGACTATTCGAAGAATATGAGAGCTATTGTAGTCGCCCCGGCGTCAGCGTCGGCGTCTGCGTTGGTTAAAGTTTTTTGTAAAGTCAAATATCTCAATTATTACTTTAGATATTCAATTGAGACTTACAATACTTATTTATAGTAACAAGGTACATCAGATTGACAAGTTGGATAACTCTGCCTACAATATTGACAGAATTATGCCCCTTTTTAACTTAGAAATTTTGGTTAAAGTTTTTTGTAAAGTCAAATATCTCAATTATTGCTTGAGATATTCATTTGAAACTTACAATACTTATTTATAGTAACAAAGTACATCAGATTGACAAGTTGGATAACTCTGCCTACAATATTGACAGAATTATGCCCCTTTTTAACTTAGAAATTTTGGTTAAAGTTTTTTGTAAAGTCAAATATTTCAATTATTGCTGGAGATATTCAATTGAAACTTACAATACTTATTCATAGTAACAAGGTACATCAGATTGACAAGTTGGATAACTCTGCCTACAATATTGACAGAATTATGCCCTTTTGGAACTTAGAAATTTTGGTTAAAGTTTTTTTGTAAAGTCAAATATCTCAATTATTGCTTGAGATATTCAATTGAAATTTAAAATACTTTTTTATAGTAACAATGTTCATCAAATTGCAAAATTGCATAACTCTGCCTGCAATATTTGCAGAATTATTTGCCCCTTTGAAACTTAGAAATTTTGGTTAAAGGTTAAAGGTCTTCAAAGATATTTACTTGAAACTTTACACATGCACTTAGGGTCATAATTGGAGAGTCATAATTGTATGTCACTGACCAAGTTCCATAACTCAATCTTACATTAAGGCTGATTCATATCCCCTTTTCTACTTAGTCTCTTGGTTAATGTTTACATGCAAGTTTTACATATCTCAATAACTATTTGTCACTGACAAAGATCCATAATTCTATCTTGCATTTAGGCTGATTTTTCTCCCCTTTTTCAACTTAGAAATTCATGGTAAAGTTTTGCTTGTAAGCTGTTATCTCAATAACTACTGAAGGGTTTGTGCCTTTTTTGGGACAATTTTATGCATTCATAATAATAAAGCAGTGATTTACTTGATAAAACATCTTAATAACAAGCCTTTGTACCTTTTCTGTCAAATTTATGTATTCATAGGTAATTAGTATTATTATACTCAATAAAATACCCTTGTGACATTACCTTACGAATAGTCAAGCCAATACTGTATAATTAGACTCTCTCTAAGGCCTATAACATGAATTTATAAAAAAAATTAGCTCTTTTGTGAACTTAAAAAATTTAACATTATCAAGGCTCTTTTACTATCAAGCACTTAGAATAGTCGAGCGTGCTGTCCTACCGACAGCTCTTGTTTTTTTTAAATTTCATCAATTTAAAAAATTGTATGAAGAAAGGTGCTGTAATAGGGTGTGATATGTATTTGATATAAATATTTTGGACTTAAGGCTATTTGGATTGCAATATGCAATTGATATGGATGTTTGGACTCTGGAAATGGAAACAAGGCTAAATTGATGAGATCCTATAATAGTTTCTGTTGGAACATCATGTGGTCAAAAAGCTGAATGGTCATTGAATATATTTTATAAAGTGTGAAATAAGTAGTAATATTTTATAGCTTTCTTACCAACACATGTTGCATGGGATTCAAATGATATACATAGTACAGTAAAAAAATTTAAACTGGAAACAAACACTTTTTGGTTGTTGATAAGAATTGGACTGCAATCCCCTTGTGGCAGAGGGGTTGCCTTTAATGGTTAAGTCAAGAGTTGTACCCCATTGTTTATCTACTGTTTATCCGTTTATCCACTGTTTATCCGTGCGATTTGGATCATAAGAGGCAATTAAATGGGTTTGAATAACTGGAGTCTATGTATCTCTAAGCTTCGGCAGGTCGGGTGATTCGGACCTGTGGTGTTGCTTTAAAGATTGTAGCACCAGAGGGAAGCCAAAATTATCTGTTCAGTTTCTGCACCATATGACCTAAACTATATTGGTGAACTGTTAATGGAAACAAACAAACAAATAAAAATATACTGTATAGCGGTTGCATTTATTTTTGTAAAGTCTTACCAGTTTCTTTTTGTCTTGTTATAAAGAGGTTAATCACTATACAGATGATTGCAGTAATGATTATCGAAAAACTTTTTCCAGTTAAAAGTGTTAAAGGGGCCATATACATGTACCATAATTTGATAAATTATTTAGCACACTTTATAAATCTTTTTTTGTCAGTATTTTATCATTTTAAAGCCAGATAAAAATGGATGACAGATGACTAAAATAGATATTTACGTGTCATGAAGTCTTTTTCTGAAGTTTAATATTCCTTTCTTGGCATTTCTCATATTAATTTAAAGCTTGTTTCCTAAAATAGGCACATTTTAATATATAGTGAACTTGTGTTTCCCAGAATTAACTTTTTTTCTCTAAGAAAAGTTAATAAGCTATATTAATTGTTGTTTATAAAGATATCGGTTAGTTAACCTGTACATGTCATTATGTAGAACATTTGCAACAAAATTAGTTTATGGTAAATGAATAGGTGTTTTGAAACTGTTTTTATGTTGTATTGTTTTCAAGGTAAAATATACTGCTCAGTTATATAAAAACATGTTACATTGTCATTTTCTTATGTTTATAAATACAGGTAACAAATCAATGATAAAAAAGAAAGAAAATAAAACTAGGAAGAATAGGGGAAGTTTTATTATAATGTTGGGAAAATCAAATTTTAATTTGTTTGATTGTTGTTTTTTAAGTTCAACTTTTCAAAGAAAAAAAAAGAGCCATTGCTATGGTCATGTTGTCTGTTGACTTTGCTGTTGGCGTTGCCATCCAAAACTTTAAAATTGGCAATAATTGTTTTTGATTTCTGAATGAATTGTCTTAATATTTGGACACAACAACTCTTTTAGAAAGACCTTCAAGGAAACAAGACTGAAATTGACCTTGACTCATAAATGACCTTAACCTTCAAAGTTTTGAACTTTGCTTGATTTTTGCTATATTGGTTATAACTTTGTTATGTCTTCATAAATAGGCACAATAATCATTTGGATAAGACCATTAAGTTGACTAACTTAACCTTGACCATCACTCATCTTGACCTTCAAGGTGTAATTGATAAATTTTGCCTGATATTTAACTCATAAATGACCATGATCTTGAAGGACAAATTATTGTATTTTCATAGTTTTTCTATAATTGGCTGTAACTTTGTAAGTAACTAACAGATTGTCTTCATATGTGGGCACAACAATCCTTGGGACCAGAAGATTTAACTGAACTTGACTGACCATAACTTGACCTTGACACAAAAGGTCAAGTTAATGAATTTAATTTCTTGGAGAAAAGAACACTTATAACAAAACAGATATGGTTATTAATTTAAATGTGACCCTGACCTTTTGAATGACTGACTGTCAATATGAAATTTATATTTTGGACAAGAAAATATTTTTTTAGAGTATTTTTTTACTACATTATTCTTCCTTTGATGCGTTTGACTTTAGAAATAAGAAAAAGTCAAGCATGGCTCCCACTAGGCAGTGGCTCTTACTTTTTGAACTATAGTACTTTTCTTGTTGTCATTAATGTATTCCTAGTGTTAATATTGATTTATATCTATTATCATGAAAATCATTTCTTATTATAGTAACATTCCATAAATAGTAGTGCTAAAATAGCAGACACACCACATTGTTTGTTCATTTTCAAGACAAAATATTAAAATAAGCTTTATAGATCCTGTGATCACCTACTCAATTGGAAAAGCTCTCTTTTAATTGTAAGTTGATAATGTCAACAACATGGGCTTATCGCTATGTTGTTGTATCTCTGTAAGTCTAAATAGGCAAGTTAGTACATGCTGGCAGCAAATCTCACTCCAAATTTACTCTTTTTGTTGATGACTTTGTACTTTAAGCTGGGAAATAGTAAATCTCCTTGTGGGCTAAAGTGCAAGTGGTATAGATATTACACTGGCTGTTCCATAGACTTTAGGAGGCGTATGTGGAAAATGAATGATTTCTTGTGCTATATTTAGACTTTATTTCTTGAGAGTCTCTTATGGTGTTTTTTCTCTCACAAAATGACACTAGCATATTGAGGTGTAAATTGGCCCTAATTACCGGTATGACTTTCTTGGATTTTTTTTCTTTGCACAATGACAATTATAAGTTATCAAAGGTAATTGATTTTGATGCTGCTTAAAACTATAAAATTCTTCTAAGTTCATTGAAATGATTGTTTTAGATACATATTACTTGGTATGAGCATTATATTAAAATCAGATTGCCCATTCCTGTGTCGATGTGACGTAAAACGATAAACTGATTGTAAATTCTTATTGCTATATTACAAAAAGTACATAACAATTTTTTGACAACCACCCACACGCATGCAACAAAAAAGATGGCTAGAATTTATGAGTGCAGTACACAAAAACTTATAAGGTATATCCTTCATAAATTTTTAGTCCAAAGCATATATTGATTGACAAAAGGGCTCTATGGGGATAAGAGGGGTCTTCCTGGCTTAAAAGCAGAAAGTTATCATGTGTCACATATATTAAATACTGTGATTGTTTGGCTGAGAATTATAACTTTAACACTTCATATTCCTTTATTAATTTTAATCCTCTAAAATACAAAAAAAAAGAAAAAAGAATGAATACTATATGTATTTGAAATTATAACTACTCAATTTGTCTTGATTCAATACTCTCACATGGTCTTGAAAGAAATTTCATTAAAACCTCACTCTTTCTCAGTTCTTGTAAATCAAAGAGTAATTACTTTCTTGCAAAAGTGTTTTCCAAATATAAGTGTCTGTCTTAGGCGAAAAATCTGAAAAATCAGAAATTAATCTTCCCTCAGTGTCTGAAAATAGAACAAAGAAATAATTATCAGTCCAAAATCTTGAAATACATTTCTTCCAGATTGCCTGTCATGATAATCCAATTTGTATAAAATTCCAGAAATAGAAAATTGTTTTTCTAAATACAGCTGAATAGTTGGGGGTATTTGTTTGATTAAAATCCTATCTTTGGATATCAGCCCTGTCAGGAAGATTGTTAGTTACAGATATTTTCGTTAAAGACATGCTGTTAAATCAGTCTGGCCCTGTCAAGTATTTCTATAAAAAGAATAGCAACTAATTCTACTGATTATAGCAGCATAGTTGGGGTTTGTTTTTAGTATTTTTATTTTTCGTTTTATTTTTTTTGGGGGGGGGGGGGGGGGGGGTTCTATTTTTAAAGACTCTTTGATATTTATATTTTTGATTTCAAACTTTTTGAGATAATTGTGAAGTATTCTGAAGTATAAAGAATATAAAAATATAACAAGTACATGTAGCATATAAAATAACTCTGCTTAAGGATAAAAAGATCTCCTAAACTTGACTATTACATATACATGTACATGTATTTACAATTTTTTATGACAACTGTTTAATGTGTTTGAGGTCTCCATGTGGTACAGGTCCCTGAGTTTGAACTGATGGCACCTCAGCACTGAGGGTTCCATTCTATGAGGGAATTAAGATTTTTATTTGTTAGGAAACTATTCTGCTTTGCAAATGCACTTCCATGCATTATTTCAGGTGCAAAGATATTTTTTTATGCATAGATTTTTGTACTTTTATATTTAAGAACAACATTTTGGTTTGAATATTTGAGTATATTGTGATACATTTGTTATATTTCAGGACACACACATACACCCATATCTTCTGTATCACACAATGGGCTATGTAAACCCAGATTTATATACATCACCGTCCATGCCAAACATTTCATTAGGGCGACCTCCAAGTGCTGTAAGTACTAATATTTTATGTTTTTGGCCCATTGTTATTTGCATTTTATTCTGGTTATGCTTATGCGTTATTATTCACAATATCTTTGAACGACACCTGCCAAAACCATTTGGTAGATTTTGACTAAATTTCACTGAACTGATTCTATGGTGGTATTTTACAATAATTGTACAATTTTTTTACAGCATGCAAGTTGGTCTTGGAGCTATATATATATATTTTATTACGAATATTTTAAAAAACAAAATCTGGAAATTTTCTATGTCAGAAACTACATTACTCAGCACAGTTTAGATTCTCTTTTGCCATGAGACATTGTGAAAATTTATTTGTTATAAAGAATAAGAAGTTCAGAGTTGCCATAAAATCTTAGCTATATTATTTTTTTCAGGGTGGTAATGGAACTCATTCGAATTATTCAGAGGCGGAACTGCGGGCAATGGGTGCTGCACGGTTAGGTCTCCCGCTATCTGGGCAGGGTCTGCCAGGCATCACAGGCTATCACCCATCATTGCCAGGTTTGAAAATATTAAGTTTATAAATTATACAAACAAATATAGTTTGTGTGTATTTTAAACATAATATATGTACATAATAAAGTTTATTATTTGATGGGAGGGGGGGGGGGGGTTGAGGATTATGGAAGTGTGGGAAGCTAGAGCAGGGGGAGATATAAGGGAAGTTTCAGGCATGGAATTAAGCCTAGCAGAAAGGGTAAGGGAATATAGAAGTTGCAGGTAGAGGAAAGTCAAGAGGAAAGGGCAAATTAATGATGTACATGTGTATGTGAATGATGTAATGTAGAAAAAAAAACAAAAAACTATCAAATACTAAAAGCAGAAAAAAGTCCCATGAAAACATTTCTAGTTACACTTTGCTTAGCTTATTTATGTTTATTTTGTCTTAATTTTATGATTTTAGCTATAGATGGAGAATACCCGTCACCTTCTGATACGTCAGCTCGATCCATGATGGCAGCCCAACTCAAGGCTATAGAAGAAGCCCGGGCCTCAGGGACCAAACCCTCACCCCTTGTAGGGCCTCCCTACCCCACACCCACCAGTAAACAGTCATCATCAGAAAGCCACCAAGCCAGAATTCATAGGTAATTTTACATGATTGTATTTGTTTCACAAACAAACGTTTCCTCAAAATCATTTACAAACATAGACCAGACTGGTTTGGTATTTTATTATTGTGCCTTTTTACAGTGACACATGCATAGAAATTCATAATCAAAATTTAAAAAAAACTAGTTTAATGATATTTTGGGAAACAAAAGTCTCCAGTGATTATCATTTATACCTGTCTAGAAAAACAAAACACACACACATAAAAACCTTTTTACTCTGACACATCTTCAGAGTTGTTGATTTTAATACAATTTTACTTATGAAAAAATTTAGAAGAATGTATGTATATCTATGAATATGTTTCTGAACTTGGAAATCTCATTTCTTTCATGTTGTTTTATTGTAGACATCGACCATTAGGACGCACTCAGTCAGCTCCATTACCGATTGGTCATCCTTTCATCCAGCAGAATCTATTGTTACAACAGCAGCAGCAGCGAGCTGGGGTCGCGGGACCTGGCATTGAGCACGACCCCGAGCAGATCCTCAAAGATAAGTTCCTTGTTAAACAACATATAAGACAAACTGTATTACAACGTACCAGCAGTAAAAGTCATATGGAGAATGTGGATGAAGAAACAGAGGCAAAGTTAGCACAGGTACATATCTTAACCCTTATCTGCTGAATAGTCTTGCCCAGCGTTTAATGAGGAACATTCCATTCAAATTTAAGGGATTTCAATATTGAAATTTAAAAAATTGAACAACTTACAGTATAGTATATATGAAAAACAAGAGCCTGGTCAGAATGCAAGGCCTGGCTTTATATTGGTTACAAAGCTAATCATTTTCTGTTCAAACAGGATAAAGGGTTTAAAAAGGAAATATTGTTTCCATTTCTAGCTTGATCATTTTTAAGAATAATTTGGTAATTGTAGTGTTACTTGCATTAGTGTGATAATTTGTTCAGGTTTTGCATTCAGTTTAAAATCTCACACACCACTGAAGATGTTAATATGAAAAATGAGACACATGCATGAGATGATTGCTGGTTTCTGTCTAAAATACATAACTTGTGCATAGATTTTAATGAATTTGTTACTTTGTGAACTTAGAAAACAAGTTGTTACTGTTTTACTGAAAGTTTTACAGCAACTGATGGTATTGAGTGGAAACTTTGCTTAATAGTTTCTTAGTCATTAAGACTTGTTACTTTGCTTAGAGTGTTACTAACTTCTTACGCCATGTTAATTAATGTATAATACCCCGGTCACATATTCACGGAATACGCCCACGGAAGAGCCACGGATTAATTCCGGTATCGTCCGTAGCTACCCGTACTGGTCAGTAGCTCTCCGTATTGTAACCGTAATCAATCGTAGTAGTCCTGGTATATCCGTAGCGATCCTTGACAATTTTTGAACATGCACAAAAATTTGCTACGGAAAAATTAACCGTAGCGTATCCCTGCTAGTCCGTATTAAAATGTACCGATACTTACTGGTCCGTACGAAAACCGTACTAGTCCGTAGCCCACCAACTTGTCAAGGATTTCCACGGTTTGGTACGGATAACCTACGTTTAAGCTACGGTTTTAATACGGATTAATACGGAAAGCCACGATCTTAATACGTTGTACTACGGAGAAGCAGGGATTAGCACGGTCTTATACGGTTTATTGTGTTGCAACATGGACTTGTACGGTCCACCACTGTTTAGAACGGATGAATTAAGTATCATGTACTTTCCAAGGGTACTACCTTCTTGTTAAAAACAGACATATTTGCGGGAACATTCAATAAATGATAATTGCCATTTACTGGCTGCAATTTATATTGAAATGGCTCAGAATGCGCAGGCAGTGGTTGAGCTGCTAGATGACATGCATGGAGGTAAAATAAATTGATATCGTACTACAATTCTTAAGTAATAGAGTAATAACATTTAATGTTACACATTTTACAAACATTGGATCGTGAAATTTGAGTAAATATGTACATAAAACGAAGTGTCTCATAAGCCTTGGACACTGACCCTTGAGTTAAAAGAAGATTAATTAACAAGCTTTTTACATATTTTTAAAACATAAACATTCACGATAATAAATATTATTGTATAAAAAAGGCACATTTTAAAATTAAAAGAGAAGCAGTTTTGATCAACACTTTTTTTAATGATTACTAGTCCATATCTAATCAGGTAAGAGAGGACAGGCAAGATGGTGGACTGGAGATGGGCTTTTACGAAGACCCCTTCATGTTTAGTATGAGGCTCTCATGGCAAGAAATTCACTTTTATCGGACCTGATGTGTCTCGGGGGTCAGACGCGATCACGCCGAATCCTCTCCGCCGAAATCATTAAACTCTGCAATTCGTTTTCCAGGTGTTCTTTTCTTGTGGGGCATTTATGCAAGAGATTGTGGACGGATGTATTAGGTCCGTATAGATCCGTGGCAATTCGTTCTTCTCCGTATCAATTCGTTCTTCTCCGTATCAGACCGTACTTATTCGTACTAACCCGTGCTTATACCGTAGCAGACCGTAGTGTATCTGTAGTGCGTCCGTCCTAATTCGTGTCGCTCCGCATCAAACCGTGTCGGTCCGTAACAATCCGTGTCTCTCCGGGGGATTTTGGTGGTAAATCCGTCGGACTCCGTACTTATACCGTTGTGTGTCCGTACTGGAACCGTAGCGGACTACGGAATTTCACATTTCCGTAGTAATCCGTGAACGATTAGACCGTAGCTCTTCCGTGGCATTATCCGTGAATATGTGACCGGGGCTTTACTTTTATATTAATGCAAGTTCAATCTCCACAATCAGTGAAAATTTTCACTTGAAAGTTCACAAGTCTTCAATTCATTATAAAATTTCTTCATTAGAAATGGTCACTACAATGAAGTAATATACATTTTATGTAACATATAATATTACAGGAGATGAAAGAAGCCCATGAAGCAGACGACAATGATGTCATTGTTGTCAAGGAAACTAAGATGGACGACGGTCGTTTGGAGATTTCAAATAAACTGACAAGAAGGGAAAGTGAACATCTATTGGCTGTAACAAAGCCTCGACATAAAGGGCATCATCGTCCCCTGGCAAGAACCCAATCTAGTCCCCTCGTTACTTTCTCCATGCCCCCACAGGCACAGGAAGTTGGCCCTGTAAAATACAGCTTCACTACTGGTAAGTGCTGTGTTACAAATGATTGCTTATTAACATGATACTATCATTGACAACTAAAACAGATCTTTTTGTTACTTCAGTCCAACAATGTTAATTGCCACCTTTACATGGTAGTTGTCAAAGACAGGTGGAAGTTTATGAGAAGCTTTCTAAAACTATATTTACATTGTAACTCAACACCATTAAGTTTTATAAGTTAATTATCATTGTCACCGTGAAAATTACATCAACAACATGGAGTGTGGTATCATTTATTCTAACCTGTACCTCACACCATCTCCGAATAAAAAGGGACATCACAAGAATTAGATATTTAGAATCCTTATTTTCCCCATTACAACACTGAAACAGTCAAACTAAAGTTACATAATAATCTGTTATTTAAGATAACATGTCAGCAAATATCACATTTTCCTAGACTGGTTGTTATAGTGAGGTTTTTGGTAGACTTATACTTGGTTATTGTTAACTATTTAAAACTGGGTAGCATATGATGGTTTATTGAAAATTGTTACAAAATGATTTACCCTTACGTTTCATTTGATTTTCATGAGCTACACAGATTTAGCCAGATTGTAATAATCATACTGTATCATAGCCCAACTATTGAAATTTATGTATGAATTTTTTCTTACCCTGATTCCATTATTAGAACTACTGGTAAAATGATCCCAACAAATATCAAACAGCAGTCTAGGGAATTGAATATAATATTTACAGTGTAACTCAACACTGTTAAGTTCTATAAGTTAATTATCATTGTCACCGTGAAAATTACATCAGTTCATGTAAAATTAATTTGTGTTTATTCAAGCAGAAATACTGTATGAGAAATTATTATTTAGAGTTTTAAATGTGAAGTGATTGCATGAGACACTATTGTTTTTAAAATGGACCTGTTGGGAATCAGTTTCATGCAATTAATTAATAATGTCTGTGTCTGTCATTTATGTCACGCGTCGAGGTATTTCTAGTATTTGTGCACATGTTTTGTGGGGTTAGAATTTTACTGATAGCATAATGTTTCTCTATGATGCGTCCTATCATATTGTTAATGTATATACTTAGGTAACCAGTCTTTCCTGTAATTATTGTCATATTTTGAGGTATTTGTTAGTATCCTTCCAAAAGATTTAGTTTTAAAAAAAGAAAAGATATTTTCAAAAATTTGACTTTGAATTGAAGGAATTGAGTGAATAAATTGTAAATCATACAAGCTGTTGAGATTGACATATGAACCTGACCATCCCTACATGCAGAATGGGAGTCAAGTTATAAACACCATTATTAATATTCTAGAAGAAAAACAACAACACAGAAGCAGTTTGTTTGCGCTTAGCAACCATGGCATTCCAGTGGTACTTGTATTTTTGTTTTGTTTAAGCAACAATTTATGATACTAAGGAGTTGAAGAAAGATAAAGAAAAAAAATAAAAACAACCCTATTTTTCATTATTTTCAGTATCAGCATATGATTATATGTACTTGTCGTAAAGTAATGGAAATAATTATCGTTGCTTAGCAACCTTAAGTATGATGTATGACAATGATAATGTGATTATAAAGAAGGGGGACAAAACTTGTTTTTAATTTCAGCAATAGCATATGACACTATGATGCAGAAGCACCAGTGTTCATGTGGTTCAGACTCCGTACATCCGGAACATGCCGGTAGAATACACAATATTTGGTCCCGGTTACAAGAAAAAAATCTGATCTCAAGTTGCGAGGTATGTACACCATAACATGTTCATGATTAGATGTAGCGTATATTGATCTTGTATTTTGCACTTTTCATTAGTATTAAGTTTTCTGCTAATGAACCCTCAAGTTATAATAGTTGTGCTTAAAAAAATATACCTTCAGCATTGAAGATGTCCCATTGAAATAGACATTGTAAAATGACATTTTTATTCTAAGGATTTTGTGTCCACCAGTGTTAGATTGTAGAATTTCAAATACATGTAAAATCAAATATTGATTAACAGTTAACAATGTCATAACTGTATAATCATACTGCACAATGACATGTATATATGATGCCCTGGCATGAAATGGATATAACATATCTAATAATATTTTCTATTTTTGACTCTTTGAAACTATTTATAGCTCCTTTGAAACTATTTATAGCTTTTACTTAACTATTTTTTTTTACTTTCATAAATCTATTCATAACTTTAATTATCTATTAATTGCTGTTATTTATTTTCTAATAATTTCAGCAACTCAAGTGCCGAAAAGCTACATTAGAAGAAATACAGTCATGTCATTCAGAGGCTTATACATTGTTTTATGCCACAAATCATTTAAGTCGGTCTCGACTTGATCCCAAACATTTTGGTATGTGTACTTTAGGCCAATTTTTTTTAGCTCACCTGACCACGAAGTGGTCATGGTGAGGTATAGTGATGGGGCTATGTCCGGCGTCCGTCGTCGTGCGTCGTGCGTCGTGCGTTGTGCGTCGTTCGTCGTCAACAATTGGGTTGTTAACAGTCTAGCAGTCACAGTTTTGATTGGATCATCATCAAACTTTGTCAAAATGTTTGTCTCAATGAAATACAGATCGAGTTCGAAGATGGGTTATCTCGGGTCAAAAACTAGGTCACAGGATCTAAAAATGGAAAAATATTGTTAACACTCTAGTGGCTGCAGTTTTCATCCAAATATTCTGGAAATTTGTCAGGGAAGGTTTGTTTTGATGATATCTAGGTCAAGTTCGAAGATGGGTCATCTCTGGTCAAAAACTAGGTCACGAGCTAAAATAGAAAAAGCTTGTTAACACTCTAACAATTGGGTTGTTAACAGTCTAGCAGTCACAGTTTTGATTGGATCATCATCAAACTTTGTTCAAAATGTTTGTCTCAATGAAATACAGGTCCAGTTTGAATATGGGCTATCTCCGGGCAAAAACTAGGTCACAGGATCTAAAAATGGAAAAAAGCTTGTTAACACTCTAGAGGCTGCAGTTTTCATCCAAATATTCTGGAAATTTGTCAGGAAGGTTGTTTTGATGATATCTAGGTCAAGTTCGAAGATGGGTCATCTCTGGTCAAAAACTAGGTCACGAGCTAAAAAATAGAAAAAGCTTGTTAACACTCTAATAATTGGGTTGTTAACAGTCTAGCAGTCACAGTTTTGATTGGATCATCATCAAACTTTGTCAGAATGTTTGTCTCAATGAAATACAGATCGAGTTCGAAGATGGGTTATCTCGGGTCAAAAACTAGGTCACAGGAGCTAAAAATAGAAAAAAGCTTGTTAACACTCTAGAGGCTGCAGTTTTTCATACAAATATTCTGGAAATTTGTCAGGAAGGTTGTTTTAATGATATCTAGGTCAAGTTTCGAAGATGGGTCATTTCGATCAAAAACTAGGTCACAGGAGCTAAAAATAGAAAAAGCTTGTTAACACTCTATTGGCTAACACTCTAACAATTGGGTTGTTAACAGTCTAGCAGTCACAGTTTTGATTGGATCATCATCAAACTTTGTCAGAATGTTTGTCTCAATGAAATACAGATCGAGTTTCGAAGATGGGTTATCTCGGGTCAAAAACTAGGTCACAGGAGCTAAAAATAGAAAAAGCTTGTTAACACTCTAGAGGCTGCAGTTTTCATCCAAATATTCTGGAAATTTGTCAGGAAGGTTGTTTTTGATGATATCTAGGTCAAGTTCGAAGATGGGTCATCTCTGGTCAAAAAACTAGGTCACGAGCTAAAAAATAGAAAAAGCTTTGTTAACACTCTAATAATTGGGTTTGTTAACAGTCTAGCAGTCACAGTTTTGATTGGATCATCATCAAACTTTGTCAGAATGTTTGTCTCAATGAAATACAGATCGAGTTCGAAGATGGGTTATCTCGGGTCAAAAAACTAGGTCACAGGAGCTAAAAAATAGAAAAAGCTTGTTAACACTCTATAGGCTGCAGTTTTCATCCAAAATATTCTGGAAATTTGTCAGGAAGGTTGTTTAGATGATATCTAGGTCAAGTTTAAAGATGGATCATGTCTGGTCAAAAACTAGGTCACAGGAGCTAAAAATAGAAAAAAGCTTGTTAACACTCTATTGGCTGCAGTTTTCATCCAAATATTTTTGGAAATTTGTCAGGAAGGTTGTTTTGATGATATCTAGGTCAAGTTCGAAGATGGTCATCTCCGGTCAAAAACTAGGTCACAGGAGCTAAAAATAGAAAAAAAGCTTGTTAACACTCTAGTGGCCGCAGTTTTTCATCCAAATATTCTGGAAATTTGTCAGGAAGGTTGTTTGATGATATCTAGGTCAAGTTGGAAGATGGGTAATGTCCGGTCAAAAACTTTTGTCACAGGAGCTAAAAATAGAAAAAGCTTGTTAACACTCTAGTGGCTGCAGTTCTCATCCAAATATTCTGGAAATTTGTCAGGAAGGTTGTTTTGATGATATCTAGGTCAAGTTGGAAGATGGGTCATGTCCGGTCAAAAACTAGGTCACAGGTGCTAAAAATTAGAAAAAGCTTGTTAACACTCTAGTGGCTGCAGTTTTCATCCAAATATTTTGGAAATTTGTCAGGAAGGTTGTTTTGATGATTTTCAGGTCAAGTTCGAAGATGGGTTATCACCGGTCAAAAAACTAGGTCACAGGAGCTAAAAAATAGAAAAAAGCTTGTTAACACTCTAGTGGCTGCAGTTTTGATTAAAATATTCTTGGAAAATTTGTCAGGAAGGTTTGTTTTTAATGATTTCTAGGTCAATTTTCGAAGATGGGGTCATGTCTGGTCAAAAACTAGGTCACAGGAGCTAAAAAATAGAAAAAGCTTGTTAACACTCTAATGGCTGCAGTTTTCATCCAAACATTCTGGAAATTTGTCAAGAAGGTTGTTTTGATGATATCTAAGTCAAGTTCGAAGATGGGTCATCTCCGGTCAAAAAACTAGGTCACAGGAGCTAAAAATAGAAAGCTTGTTAACACATTAGGGGCTGCAGTTTTCATCCAAATATTCTTGAAATTTGTCAGGAAGGTTGTTTTGATGATGTCTAGGTCAAGTTCGAAGATGGGTTATCTCCGGTCAAAAACTAGGTCACAGGAGCTAAACATAGAAAAAGCTTGTTAACAAATCTAGTGGCTGCAGTATTGATTCAAATATTCTGGAAATTTGCCAGGAGGTTGTTTTGATGATTTCTAGGTCAAATTCGAAGATGGGCTATCTCAGGTCAAAAACTAGGTCACAGGAGTTAAAAATAGAAAAAGCTTGTTTACACTCTAGTGGCTGCAGTTTTTATTCAAATATTCAGGAAATTTGTCAAGAATGTTGTTTTGATGTTTTCTGGGTCAAGTGCTAAGATTGGTCATGTCTGGTCAAAAAACTAGGTCACAGGAGCTAAAAATAGAAAAATCTTTTTAACACTCTAGTGGCTGCAGTTTTTGATCCAAATTTCCTGGAAATTGGTCAGGAAGGTTGTTTTTGATGATTTCTAGGTCAAGTTTGAAATATGGGTCGTGTCCAGTCAAAAATTAGGTCACATTGCCCAAATATGGAAAAATCTTTATAACACACTAGAGGTCACATTGACTCTCAGTCGCATCAAACTTGGTCATGATGCTTGTTTAAGACATTGCTTGGATGCGGTTGTGTCAGGTGAGCGATCCAGGGCCATCATGGCCCTCTTGTTTATATTTTGGTTTACTGATTTTTTCCAAAAAAAGGTAGGGTCGGCGGCGGGAAAAAAAAAAAATAAGTTTTCATAACTATAAATGTGGTGCATACATATACATAGTACTTACTAGAGCAATGCAATTAAATACATCGCCGATTGTCTATTCCAAAGATTGCTTAAATACACAAAAAAACTTTTGCTCACATTGCCATTGTTTAAAAACACACATGAAATCTACACACGATGACTTATGACAAGTGGCAAGCGAGCCCTTCAAAAGAATCTGTCATTCTTTGATGTTTACACACTGCTGTGTAATCTGAATCATCAAAGGTGCCGAAACTCAGCTGACTTGCACTCATTTCTTTATAGATCAGATGTTAAAAATACTGTCAAGAAAAGATTACACAAAGTCATGTTCAATTTTGCCCATTGTGAAAATATTTTTATCGGATAATTAGCGGGTCAATTTTTGACATAAAAATCTATTAAAAGTAAGTGCGGGCATTTTTTTATTTTGTTTGTTTGAAAACCTGTATTCATTCTGCTTTTAAAGACTAATTTTTTTTTTTGTTAAATCTGAAAATACTGATCTTGTCAATTGCAGCAGATTTCTCTCGCTCTGTCCTTGAATGTAATTGCTTACGTAATTTGGCGTGTTTTTTGTTTTTGTTTTTGCAGTTGGTTTTTTTTTATAATTTTACGCATTTCGACCTTAAATGCATTGATGAAATATGATCAAAGCCTAATTATAATTCTGTGAGAATGGCTTGACCAATTTAACAGACATTCTTTCATAAATTAATACACCAATAAACACTTTCCGCAACTAGCAGACGACAGGCTATTCTCCAGTAAAGATAACCGGTTGCATATCTCACTGTATAAATCCTGTATAAATCTGGCATATGGTAGGTTTAACCAAAGGGACCCGGCACAGTGTTGGGATAGTGTAAAAAAGTAATTCTAGAAAAAAAAATATACTTAATATATAATATATAGTCTATATATTATATATACAATATATTTTTTTTTCTTAAATTACTTTTTTACACTATCCCAACACTGTGCTGGGTCCCTGTGGGTTTAACAGTTAATTAAAATACTTACCGCGACGTTTCTTTGACAAGTCGTATTATTAGCAGCGTATTTCAAGACAACACAGAATTTTTTGGGGGGCAGATTTTTTTTTTTTTTTTTTCATTTTCCCAAAATACAGAGTCGGCGGGTCAGTAAACCGAAATATCAAAAAATAATGGCCTTAAGCAGTTCTATAAATAGTAGCACGAATGTTATGCAAAATGTGAAAAAAAAGTAGTGCCAAAACAATGCATTAAGAAGTCCTATTACGATTCATTATTTGAAGAAGTCTGAAAAAGTTGTCATAAGGAATACACATGCTGTGGATTAAAATTAAAAAATTAGACTATATTTTCATTACTCATACTGCTTATTTGATGCTTTACTTTCAAAAATTGATACAGGAATGTTACAAGTCAATATGCATATTTTATAATAAAACTGTGTACCGCCTCCGTGGTCGTGGGGTTAGAGTCGATGACTTCAAATCTAGTAACCTCTCTGGCGTGGGTTCGATCCCCGGGAGATGCTTTGGTAGTTTAGCACGGAGGAAGGTAGTCTAGTACTGGTGTAACTGTCCAGGAACGATGGTTAGGAAACTACCCGCCTATATGACTGAAATACTGTTTGGAAAAGGCGTAAAATGAAACAAACAAACAAACAAACATAATAAAACTGTTTTAATTACAGAAAATCTGCCAATGCGTTTTTGTGCTCTACCTTGTGGTGGTGTTGGTGTGGACTCGGACACAGTTTGGAATGATCTTCATACATCCATTGCAGCCCGAATGGTGAGTCAACATTTTAGTTTTAAAGTAGCATACCTCCAGAGATATGCTCATTTGTATGGAAATTTAAAAAAAAAAATTTTGATTTTTAAACAAATTTTCAAAGTGTACAGAATTCAGGAATATGGCCAAGATTATTGTCCGCTGTTTTATTACAGAAAGGCGTTAATATAGAACTGTTGTATGCAATATATAATTGTTGAATGCATAATACTGATTTTGCTTTGTAGTTGAAATAATACAGCTGCAATTCCATTGAAATTGCTCATTTAAATTTTATAAGCTCATAATTAAACAGTTGGTCATGATTTTATTTGTTTACCACGTTTCCCCATTGGAAGTCTTCATTATTATTTTATAATAAATGATTAAATAGAATTTGATGGAGTGTTGCAATTGTGATTAAGTGAAGTGTAAAATGAATTTTTGTGTGTTTTATTACGTTGTGTTGGTATTATTTATAAAATTGTATTGAATTAGTAATGTGGTGTCAAGGAAAGCAAAGGAATAATAAATATTATTGAAGGGGGGGGTTGTTAGTGTAGTTGACAGCTGAGTAGACTGATATTAGATATTACTCATACATGCCCCCTCTTGATGAGTAATTAATTAGTTTTTAGCTCACCTTGCACAAAGTGCAGGTGAGCTTTTAGGATGGCCAACCAAATGGCGTCCGTCGTCAGTCGTCCGTCAACATTTTAAATATTCTAAGGACATCTTCTATGATACCGCAAGGCCAATGTTAATGAAACTTGGCAGGAATACTCTTTGTATGAAGCTCTATCAAGATTGTTCAAAGAATTCCATTTCATGCAGAACTCTGGTTGCCATGGCAACCAAAAGAAAAATCTTTAAATATCTTCTTTTAAAGAACCGTAAGAGCTAGAGCTTAGATATTTGGCATTAAACATCTTCTAATGAGTGTCTACCAAGTTTGTTCAAATAAAAGCCCTAGGGTCAAAATTGGCTCCGACCCAGGGGGTCATTGATTTTCCCTATATGCATATAGTAAAAACTTAAAAAAATCTTCTTTTAAAGAACCCAAAGAGCTAGAGCTAAGATATTTGGCATGAAACATCTTCTAGTGAGTGTCTACCAAGTTTGTTCAAATAAAAGCCCTGGGGTCAAAATTGGCCCCGGCCCGGGGGTCATTGATTTTCCCTATATGCATAAAGTAAAAACTTAAAAAAATCTTCTTTTAAAGAACTGTAAAAGCTAGAGCTTAGATATTTGGCATGAAACATCTTCTAGTGTATGTCTACCAAGTTTGTTCAAATAAAAGCCCTGGGGTCAAAATTGGCCCCGCCCCAGGGGGTCATTGATTTTCCCTATATGCATATAGTAAAAAACTTAAAAAATCTTCTTTTTTAAAGAACCCAAAGAGCTATAGCTAAGATATTTAGCATGAAACATCTTCTAATGAGTGGCTACCAAGTTTGTTTCAAATAAAAGCCCTGAGGTCAAAATTGGCCCTGCCCCAGGGGGTCATAGATTTTCCCTATATGCATATAGTAAAAACTTAAAAAATCTTCTTTTAAAGAACCCAAAGAGCTAGAGCGAAGATATTTGACATGAAATATCTTCTAGTGAGTGTCTACCAAGTTTGTTCAAATAAAAGCCCTGGGGTCAAAATTGGCCCTGCCCCAGGGGGTCATTGATTTTCCCTATATGCATATAGTAAAAACTTAAAAAATCTTCTTTTAAAGAACCCAAAGAGCTAGAGCGAAGATATTTGACATGAAATATCTTCTAGTGAGTGTCTACCAAGTTTGTTCAAATAAAAGCCCTGGGGTCAAAACTGGCCCCGCCCCGGGGGTCATTGATTTTCCTTATATGTGTATAGCAAAAATTTAAAAATCTTCTTTGAAAAATCCCAAATAGCTTGAGTTTAGATAATATACATTGTAAACATTTTTAAGTAAATATCTACAAAGTTTGTTCAAATAAAAGCCCGGGGGTCAAAACTGGCCCTGCCCCAGGGGTGTCATTGTTTTTAACAATATGTGTATAGTAAAAACTTAAAAAATCTTCTTTTAAAAAACCCAATGAGCTAGAACTTAGATGTTTAGCATGAAACATCTTCTTATGGGTGTCTACCAAGTCTGTTCAAATAAAAGCCCTTGGGTAAAAATTTGCTAGGGGGGGGGGGGGGCTATATACAGGTGAGCGACCTCAGGGCCATCATGGCCCTCTTGTTCTTGTTTATTTTACTAATCTCATTAAACTACTTCATTATGGTAAGTTAAGTACATCTGAACTTAGTATGTGCTTTAAGGGCTTCTGTGACAGAGTATTAAAGGATGTTGACTTTAATCACATAACTGTTATGGGTTCAAATCCCATGGATTGTTTTATATGTGGAAGCCATCCAGCAGGCTCACGGCAGGTCAAGGGTTCAACTACAACTTGTGCCGGAAGTAAGACACTTAACATATTCTTCCCCCAATAAAGCTTGAAAGCTACCATATCACCTTTACATTGTCAGTTACCTTTTTATAAAAAAGTACAAAATTGTGCTTAAATTATTTTGGATAACTGTTTTTGTTGTTTTATGTTGCAGGCGGCAGGTTGTGTTTCAGAGATGGCATACAGGGTTGGTTCTGGTGAACTAAAGAATGGCTTTGCTCTTGTACGACCACCTGGACATCATGCCGAACCCGAGCAAGCTATGTGAGCGAACTTTTTCTGACAGATTACAAATTTTATATTAATTTCTTGATTGGTTACTTTAAAGTAAAAACAGTTTTAAAGTTTGAAGACTTACAAGGGAAACTACTGGTGAAGTTGACTAAATTATAATGCATTAAAATAATGAAATTTTGTCTTTAGTTATCATCTTACTAAATGGAAAGCAATCACCAGAAGGAAATGCTGTCTTGAAACATAATTTGCGTTACAATTACAGTGGCTAAACAATCTATAAAATCACTTTGGAAACAAACAGTTCTAATCATGTGTTACAATCACAATTGCTTAGCAATTGATAAAGTCACTCTGGAAACAAAGGTTTCTACTCATGTGCCCAACCATGCATGAAATAATGCACAGATGGTCACCTGAGGTTTTCTTCCACCACTTAATGACTTTTACTGTGACGGTGCGATGTAAAACCTAATAAAAAAAATATTGAATAACTCTAATAATCTGCCATTTAAAATAGCTGTGTATGCTAGGTACCACTTTAACTATTATCAAGAGGGGAGCAGTCGCCAAGAAGTTTAGATGTCTCCCTCTCAACCCAGAAGTCCTGGGTTTGAATCTTACTGGGGTATTGACCATAGTAATTAATCTTAGGAAGGGGACTTAGTATTGATTCAGTAAACTTCAAGCTTACATTTTAATCGAGCTAAAGAAAATATATGTTTTACTGAACTACTATATCTTAGTTTGTTTCTATTTAATTTAGCTGATATCATAGACTAGATTAAATTTTATACTTAAAAATTTATGTATGGCTGTATAATTGAATTAATATATTTTGAGCAGCCATCTCAATACAAGATAGTCATTAGAAGTTATGTAATAATGCTTTATTTTTTATATAAATCAGATATATTTATATGTAAGTATTATTTTTAAAACCCTCATATTGAATGTTTTTCTGTATTTTCACAGGGGATTCTGTTATTTCAATTCTGTTGCTATAGCAGCTAAGCAAATGAGAGATAAGTTGAAAATGAAGGAAAGAAAGATTTTTTATTTCTTTTAGTTAGATTGGGTATAGTTGGAATGTTGTTTTTAGATTCTCCTTTTGTAGCATTTCACCCTTGTTTTGGTGGAGTTGCTGTATGGTGGCGATGATAATTTGACACTTGGACTTGTCACCACTCATGTTCTGTAGACAAGTTTATATAGGGTGTAACTTCATAAGAATAAAGACCCACAAAAATTCATATGAATAGTTATCAGTATGTGAACTTAAGCACTTGGGTATTTTGCTGCAAATTTCTTATGCCCACTGGTTCAGTAGAAAAAAAGCATATAGATGCAAAAGTATAAAGTGAGACCTTTGGAACTGTCTATGAATTTAAGTATCATGTGACTGGAGTTCATCATAGTTATGGCCCCTGACTTATAAAAATAAGCATAGATAAATGGGCATAACAATTTCTTCTGTGCTCAAATCCTACATTTCTCAAGGGATTTCATTCTGTCTTTTGTGATTTAATTATTTTTAGCAAAATAATAGCATGTTATATAATTTTGTAAATAATGTAAATACTTGTAATAGAGAACTACTATTCTGTGTATATCTCCTTTAACATATCACTAGAGATTGCATTATCTCCGATGGAAAAACTTGTTTTATGTCAATTCTTGTCACTTTTCATAGTATGTCACCCTTATCCTGGTAACTAGCATTCCTCCATGTACAAACCTTGACTTCACAAGCTTGTGTCCCGAATGTGTTAGGCAGTTTACCTAGATGTTTTGATTTAATGTGTCCCAATTATTGCTGCATACATGTAGTTTTTAAAAAAAATCATCTTGTTATTAAGGACATGCAAATAGAAAATATGAAATTTAAGTGTTGATTTAAATATTGTCATAAGTTTAAATTCTATTTCACGACAGTTTTGCTTTGGCGAGTTTATATATTTCTGACTAATTTTCTTTTTTGTTTTGTTTTAGGATGTTCATCATGGAAATGGTACTCAACAGATGACCTTCAATGATAAAGAAATTTTGTATATCTCAATCCATCGACATGACAATGGCAACTTTTTCCCCGGGACTGGGGCACCAGAAGAATGTGGTGCTGGGGAAGGTGTTGGGTTCAATGTTAATGTTGCCTTCAGTGGAGGACTAGAACCTCCAAAGGGTGATGCAGAATACTTAGCTGCCTTTAGGTTTGTCTCTTTTCTTTGGTTTAGTTGTTAGTACTTAAGGTTCATTGTTACATTTTATTCATGAGATACTATGATCATGATACACCAGTTGCTGACTTTAATTTGTTTCCTCAGATTTATAATATTTCCTTTATTTTCCTCTATACATATCTGATTTCTTTCTTTCAGAACCATTATCATGCCAATAGCGAGAGAGTTTAATCCTGAGATAGTTCTGGTTTCGGCTGGTTTTGATGCAGCAGCAGGTCATCCTGCCCCGCTTGGTGGCTACATGGTCTCACCACAGTGTATGTATTCAAACTTGAAACCTGTCTATAGATGGTAACTAGTGGCAAAGTCATAACATTCAGGTTAATACCTTCAGACTGCCTGTGTGACTTTGACATTGAGGATTGGACAAAAGCAATTCTTGTATAAAAATAGCTGTCACAATGATTATATGATTGTTAACGACCATGCTTTTACCTGATTGCCAAAATATTTGTTATATTGATTATCACATTATTTAAAGAAGTTGTCTTCCATTGATTAAAAATCTTTGTTTCAGAAAAAATTATTTCTTTCTTTATTTTAGGCTTTGGTCACATGACTAGGGAATTGATGTCATTGGCTAATGGGAAAATAGTTTTGGCCCTGGAAGGAGGATATGAGATAACTGCAATTTGTGACTCAGCAGAAATGTGCCTAAAGGCCTTGTTAGGTCAGGAAATACCTCCTATAAAAGAGGAGGAGTTGTGTAAAGTTCCTTGCAAAACTGCCATTGAAACCTTGGAGAATACAATAAATATTCAAGGTATGAACCAAAGAGTTTTATTTTCTTTCAGTTGGTTTTGGGAGAGAAAAAAAAATGTTTTTATATCTAGGGGTGGGGGTATGTAGATTGACTGTCATACTGCTCCTGGGCTGGTCCCTTCAGTAGAAATATAGTGAAAATCACACCTTTACGGTAGAACACAAACATACAACAAAAGTTGCGGGTCAACATCTTCTCAATAAGTGACAGTCGGCGACACATGTTTTCAACACCTCGTGATCGTAATTAAGGCAATTAAGGCTAATAGACATAAAATTAGAGATGTTATAACCGATTTGTTTGCTATGATAATATTGTTTATTTGCCGTCTTTAGTAACGATAAAAAATGGACTGGTGAAATAAGTGAAATGTGCAAAAGTCAATAAATAAATAAATGATGTTTACTCGGACAGCTTTAATTACAGCCGTAGTTCATGTAACGTCAATTTATTTATAGAATGATACTTGTACGTGTGTTTATTTAATAAGTGAATGACTACAAATAGATGCTGAAATATTATGTTGTTTTTTTGTTGTTGTTTTGTTTTTTTTTAAATATTTTATTAATTCATTGTTTAAAATAAAATGTATCTATAATAAAGACTTTAATAAATCAAACAAATTTGCACTGGCCCTCAGAGTTTGAGTGTACAAAGTTCGACTGTATATAGATGACAATTTATAATTGTGTGATTATTTTCAGGAAAGCATTGGCCTTGTCTACAGCGATACCTTGGTACAATACAGTACTCTATAATAGAAGCCCAGAAACGTGAGAGTGAAGAAACAGACACAGTTACTGCCCTTGCTTCATTGTCAATGGTTGCTGCCAAAAGAAGGTATGTTGTTCAGTCTATAGGTTTTTCAATCACTGAAATATTTAATCTGTTACTAGTAATTTATCATAAACACTTGTTAAATTTTATAGGCAATAACTACAGTCCACTATAATAAAACCATGCTAGTATGTACATACTTTGTAATCCATTTTTATACTGTTGATTAAACTGTGTTAGTATTTTGATATAATATGTTCCATTCACTTATCATGGAAACTCAAAACACGACAAATTAACTACAAATTAACGGCACAAATAGACTTATTTCAGAATAAGAATATTTTCAGCGAGGAGTGCAAATAAACTTTGACAGTTACAACTTTGAGAGTCAGCTCGATAGGTTGACTGTCTATTGTGAACGGTATTGCACAGTAAAGCTTATAACAGTAAAAATTCACTTGTACAAGGGAATTAGCCAAGTTCTGGCTATCACTTATTGAGATGATTAAAACAAATTCTGTTTTTGTTTTCCAGTGAGTCCCTTGAACAGGAAGCTGAGCCCATGGATGAGGAGTCCTAGATTTATGGGATGATGTAAAATCAACAAAATAATGTTAGGATGATATATCCTGTATCCATAGCAACCATCCCATGTTGCACTATTTAAACATATTTCTGCCTAAAACAGTGTTGTCTGAACTTCAGTCTATAAATAGTAACTAGTGCTATTTTTAGTAACATGCTTGATAACTATTGTTAGTAACAACTTGTCAATGTGTGTTTAATGTAGATGATGAAAGGGGAAAAGTGATATGGGAGAATGCAGAAAATATATACAACCATTTTGAAACAAATTACTTAAATATGTGCACTGGGATGGTACCACGTTATGGGAATAGAGCACTAGAGAACACAAGGGGTTTGAGTGTTCTTTGTGAAATTAGAATTTAAGTGCTGGTGAACTGTGCTGTGTGAAGTTGAAGTAGGGACATTGTGTTCATGTGACATAGACCATAAAAAAACAAGGTTGCATATTTGTAAAGAAACACGTTAGAAGCGTTTTTCTTTTGATGGATTTACTTTTTTTGTGCCGAGTGATAGATATATTTTGATGACAAATGGTATGAAATTGTACAGATACATGTACTGTTCATACTTAAAATGAGGGGAGAATTCATTACATCTATTATCAGAGGGACAAGAATGTCTCAAGAAAAAAAAAATCTGTTATGATAATACATGAATATATATATATATGTATAAATATATATACAAAACAAAACATTTTGAATGTTAAGATATTTTGTATGCTATTTGAACAACTAGTCAAAAGTTGTGTGTTTATATTTAATGACTGTCGGCAGATATGATTTGCATGTATTTATCGTGATTTGATTAACATGAAATTGACGCATATTTTGGCTTATTGTGATATTTTGTCATTGTCGTAATATCTTTTTTATGTATAAAAGCCCCCTCTCCCCTACTTGTAAGCTTATGTTATTGTTAAATGTTGTTGCTGCCCATACAGCTAGAAAAGGGCCTGGCAGGAGAAAAGAAATAAATTGGAATTAATAGATTTTATAGCTAGTGAAAAGCCAGATTTGACGGGCCGTGATTTTTTGTTTGCCAAGTGAAGTCCATTATAAAGTTGTTATGGTGTTCTGAAGAAAAAAGATTTGAAAAAATTTGTAAAACTTTGATTATAATGCAGATTGTTTTTTTACTGTAGGTAGGAAATTGATTAGAGTAGGTTGTATTCTAGGTTTAATTTTTTTTTTCAATGTTTAATGTGATACTTTTTTTCCTTTTATTTTGTGACATGGAAATTTTTTGGTGTTGTTTTTATATGGACAAGGCCCTTTTCTACTCTATGGTGCTAAATCATTGTGAACATTTCATCATTTTTTTCATGATTTAAGCCTGGGTTTTAGATTGCTTAAAGCAAAGTCATGTATTTGAATATTATGTAATTCACACTGTAAGAATTGTACTACCTGTGTAAGAAGTGAATATATGTACCTTTCTGTTTTGATGCACACATGCTTATACTGTATGTTACGAAGAAAGGAGAGAGTAGGAAAAAAAATGTATCAGAAAGTCGTGAAAATCACAATTAATGTTTTCATTTTTTTTATAGACCTTACAGGTTCATTAAAGTTGAATGTTTTATTCTTCTTTTTTTTTTTGTATCTAGGCAACTACAAAATATTTTCCAGCAGGGTGAAATCCATCATACCTCATACTTTCCTTTTTCCTGTCAGTATCATTGTTGTTCCTTGCTAAAATAAATTCATGTAGAATCAACTAATACTTCATTCAGGCAAAAATTTTAACAGATATAACTTCTGAGAATACTCTTTAAAAGAAGTTTACTGTGAAAAAAAGCAGTACTATTTCCATGCGGGTTATTTTTGTGTATTTTGCTGCGTCCATTTAAACTGTCATTTACTAACATTACACATTTGGTAGAAATACAATAAAAGAATGAAATAAAACCGATAAAAAATGGGTTGGTGCACTAGACAATGGTAATACATGTACCTTTAATAATATAGATAAATAAGTGTTGAAATTTTGGCATTTGTTTTGATATAAAACAAAGATTGTTGCATGATTTTTGTCTGATACACTTTAGCTTATTCTCTTCATTATGAATCAGGAGTTCATTATATATTATAGTGCACTTAAAGATGAACATTTTGTCATGAAAATTGAGCCGTGCCATGACAAAACCGATATAGTGCGTTTGGGACCAGCATGGATCAGACCAGCCTGCTTGTTACAGGGTTTGTTAGTGAACAGGATGGATCCTGATCAGATTACCGGATGCACAGGTTGGTCTGAATCCATGCTTGTAGCAAATGCACTATGTTGGTTTTGTTGTGATGCGGCTCATTAATTTTGTTTTAATATGTACCTCCATTTCACATTAGTTTTGTCACATCATGCCAAGTTGTAGTAAAGTTGTCATTTGTGTGTACATTTTGATGAAACAGACATAGATTATTTATTTTTGACATGTTTTTTCATAGTTTATCATTATTTGTACTTTTTATTCATGTTAATTTTTGATAAACCATGTTGAACTGAATAGATAAATAAATATATCACATAGTGTTTTTTTCTTCATCTTTCATAATAATTTTTTTTCTTGTTTGGTAGTAGAATTCACTATTTTTTTTTTTTTTATGTGTAAGAGTAAATAAACTATTTGATTTTGGTCATTGTTTAATCATTGAAAATCATGGTAATTATTGAAAATCATGGAAACAAAAAACTTATAATATCTGCTTAGATAAATGTTAATTGAAATACAGTTTTATGTAATTAAGTTAACTTTTAAATATAATTGATATGATCATGAATTTGTTAGATTTTTGTATCAAAAATCAGTTTTGGGAGTTTGCAGATAAGTCTACTATTAAAACCTTATTAATTTCCTACTTTTACGTATCTAAACTACAAGTAGAACTTGTTTTTCCATTTAATTTATTCTGGTCTGAATTTAAACTTTATTATGGTCTTAAAATATTAAACAAAGATTTATTTTCAGAAGGACTTCTTTTTTTTTTGTCCATTCAATGGCCAATGTTAGATAGGATTTCTTGCTGGAGTGGAAATAATTTGAAATTTATTTTATAGCTTGTATGACTTTTTTCTTTTTAAGGCATGAGATACTTTGCTGCTAAATCAGATATTTTCACAAATTATCGTGTCATTTTCCTGTGTAGCTAATTGTGCTATCACAGTCACCTTTTTATCACAAACACATTGATATATAGAGACCATTATCTTTGATGTGTCGGTACCTTTCATAGGCTGCAACACTTGGAGATAGTAATCAAGGTCAATGAAGCTGTGAAATAGATTTTCCCTATCCTTACTTCATACTAAGGGCATTTTTTGAGTGTTGTCAAAGCCATATTTTTTTATTTTTATTTTTTTTGGAAGGGTTGGTTAACAATATATAATAATGAGCATTGAAGCGGTGTAATTGATAGAATAGGCCCTCAATTTAAATAAGCCCTCAATTTGATTCAGCCCTCAATTTCCGCGGTGAATTAGCTTTTTGGATAGTAAATAAAAGAAAGAAAACGTGCCGTGTTAAAGTATCTGAATTTGCAGTAAATTTGTTGTATTGATTTGTTATGTTGCACATTTCTTTCTATAGTTAATGAAAACATTTGTTGATTTATATTTAAAATTTATAAATATATATATATTTTTGTTAAATATTATAAAATGATGTATATAATTGTTGACAATTAAAAAAAATGCTTTCTAGATGATGTATTATAGACTTAAGCAATTTATTTCTGTACCTGGTGAAAACTTTTTTTTGTCATTTTGTTTTTAAATTTTTCTGATATTGATATATCCATAACAAATGTATATGAAAATATGTAGGAATTTGCATAGAAGTTTCTAATATCCAAAACAAGGAGTTATATTCTTTAAGATATCCATAACAATTGAAATGTATCTAAGAAGTTTCTGATATATAGATTTACTAAGTATATTTTCAAAATGAAGATATATTTGTTTTGGCTGTTGGGAATTTTGATTTATCAGTAAATAAGTTAATTATGTAAGTTAGAATTAGAGTAAACTTTATCCCTGAATTTTTATGACCGATATGGCTGCAGGAATTCCTGATAAATATCCATTACAAATAAAACAACGTATTGTGTCTTTATATTTGATAAATCTATACTAGTACACATGTTTATTTATAACAAATGAGAAGTACTATAGAATTGCTTGATAGAATTTTTTATATAAAATGATGACTCCAATAAGAAGCATTTAGATGGTAATTTTTAGTGATAAATCCATTATTTGAGATTAGGTGTCGACTTCTGTTATGGTTTAAAAAATGTATTTGAGGTTAGCTTTACCCTTTCTGTTGACAGATATTAGATGAATATTGAGGGTTAAGATTTAACTTTCCTTTGACTTTTACCTGATATACTAATTGATATAAAATTGATAGATATAATTGTGTTTTGTGAAGTTTGGTAAATGAATGTTTTTTGGGTTTTTTGTTTTGAAGATTGGCCAGTACTCATTGAAGTATGTTGTGTCTTCATCTCTTCACATCAAACAAATAACTGATCCATACTGCAGGTAGTGTTTGATAACAATAAATATTAGTAGGTGTAAGGGAGGCAAATCTGACATTGCTTTTAATTGATCTAAAATTGGATTCATATTTAGAAATACGATGGATTAGATTTTGCTGATCAAGTGTGTAAATGAATTGCATTGGATGGAATTAAACTAAAATTAATGAAACGTCTTTTTATGATGACAAGTTGTCTAGACTAGAGTATAAAGATCATGTTGTGATTTACCTCCCTTTGTCTGATAATGGATATCTTAAAGGCAGTGATTGTTAATGAAAGGTTTATATTTTACAAACATTTTTTCAAGACATAGTCTTGTATATCTTACAGTTTTGGACGATTCCCTTCTCTCCCACACCTGCATATCTTATAATCTGTAAGAAGCCCCCTCTCTCTCTCTTAACCTGCCATAAGGTACATGATTTACCTGATTCAACTCAAAGTGCAATGCATTTTGTTCAAGTGTGATTTCGTTGTTGTACTTTTATAAATGGACATTTAAATATCATACGTCAGGGGTGGGGGGAGTGTTTTTGTACATGTCATGAAATATAAAGATCTGAATTATCATAATCGTATTTCAGAAATAAAATAAAAATAGTAACTCATTTTGCATCATTTTGATTGATCACTCATAAAAGTCATGTTGTTTTTAAAATCTTACTGCCTGCCATTGTTTTACAGTTGTATTTTTTTTTTAAATATTTATTTTAATACTAAAAGGTCTAGGTCATGTCTTTTTATAATAAGAATATAAAGTTGTGTTTATTAAAACAAGAAAAGTCTTTAAGTATTTTTGAAAAGTTTTCTTCAAGGTCAATGAATGCCCAAAATCAAGTTTTGATATACAATTTGTAAAACCAGAATAACTGTGTAGATGATATTCTGTTTTTGATATTTTTAGGAATATATTATATTGTTAGTTTATGATTTAATTTAAAAAAGTGCTACTTTATAAAAAGCCAAATGCATGTATTTTGGGATAAAAAGAGCAACATGCATGTGTTTTACAAGACAGAAAAAAAGTTATTTATTAAAAAAAAATATTTGCTATTCAGTATAAGTGACAAGTTTTAATTTGAAAAAGTGTTTTTATCATTGAAATCTAATAGGTTTGATATCTTAAAAGATATGCAGTACTAAAAAGTATTTGTATTTTTGTTTTAATATGATTTTACTCAGCCTATTTCATTTAATTCGAAACTTACTTTTTTAGAAGTTAAAAACCGGTTTTTCTTAATGGTGCAACAAAATAATAATTGTAATGAAAGTTTTCACCACTTTTTCATTTAAAGTATAGAATATTTAGAATATTTCACTCTACCTGTGTTATGTGGCATTAATAATTACAGCACAATCGTTCCTCATGAAAGGACTACTGGACTAGAATCTTAACATATTATAGCACTGGCCTTTTAATATAATGCAGTTATCTCCCCAGGCTGCTCTAACCAACCCCCACCCCCTCATGACTACCTAAAGAATATTGATATCTTGCATTTCCTGGTTCTCTTAACCACTTATTAATTTCCCCACCGCACCCACTCCCCTGGTTCCCCTCCAGATAGTGATCACTTACCTCCCCTGGTAGTTATCACTTACCTCCCCTGGTTACTCTTTCTGGTAGTTATTTATTACCTCCCCTGGTTATATTTCCTTGTAGTTATCTCTTACCTCCCCTGGTTAGTCTTCCTGGTAGTCAAACTCCTCACAGTGATTACCTCCCTTGGCAGAATTGTAATCACTGCCTTCACAGACGTCACATGATGATGAAAGTCACATGACGTAACGTCGAAATTCAAATGTAAATATCGACTGTTACATAGAAAATCTACGTCATTTTTCTCTTTCTGTTTTATTTTTAAGTTTTTGTACCTATGTCCGTTATATTTTATCAAAAAATTATCAATAGTATACAAAATAATGAAAAATAAATTAAAAAGCTAAAAAATATAAATATCCAAATATTGATATTTCAATGTTTGTGATGGCAGAGATCTCTGTACTGATAAGGGGAGATCACTGCGTAGGAGATTGTCTGGTAGTTATCACTTACCTCCCCTGGTTACTCTTCCTGGTAGTTATCACTTTCCTCCCCTGGTTAATCTTCCTGGTAGTTATCTCTTACCTCCCCTGTTTAATCTTCCTCATCAATTATCTCCCCTGGCTATTCCTGGGATGATCACCTGCCTTTTCTGTTTTTTTTTGCTGGTAGTAATCAGTTGTCTCCCCTGGTTAATCTTAATCATTTATTCTCCCCCATTGCTACTTTTCCTGGTAGCCTTCAGTTAATTTTAACGGTCAATAATCTCCCCTGATTATTTCTAGTAGTAATCATTTGCCAGTTCTGGGTTACTCCCCTTGGTAGTAATCACTTATCTCCCTTGGTTACCCTTGCTGGTAGTCATGTTAATCCTGTGGACACTGGTGTTTTGTAAGTTAAGGCACTGTACATTTAGATATTTTCATGAGAATATAAAGAAATTTCATCTCGCCTATTTATGTTGGTTTCTATGTGTAATATTTTGTAAAAAATAACTTTCATAGAGATAGCAATTTTTAATAATCATTAAAAAAAAACAATGCTGTATAAAGAATGGTTTACTCTCCCTTCTCTTTTTTCTTGTAAAATTGTATTCTCATGAAAACATTTGTGTGTACAGTTGTCTTTATTTTAAACTGAACAAATTGCTTGTTATTGATTAGAGATTTTTTAGATTTTATTATATATTAGCTGTTCATATGTTTTAGATGATAAGAAATATTTTATTTTGTTGTGTGCTGCAAAAAATTAAACTTTGTCTTATCACTTTATTTTTGTGTACATCATCTGGAGTCATCAACTTGTGAAGTAAAATTTCTGTTGTTATTCCGATTTGTTCTTGACTTATTTTGCTTCCAAAATCATCTTTGTGTGCAACAATAACAATGGTCGCCACCAAACCTCCGGTCATTTTGTGCGACTGTGGCCGATTTTTGGTGAATATGGCCAAGTGGTTATTTAAAGGACATAATGCATCAGGGATATACAAGTCTTTTTCATGTTAGTACTATAGATGCATTGAACATAGCAATTATTATCTCCAACTGGCCCCGCCCCAGGGGTGTCATTGTTTTTAACTATATGTGTACAGTAAAAACTTAAAAAATACTCTTTTAAAAAACCCAATGAGCTAGAGCTTAGACGTTTAGCATGAAACATCTTCTTATGGGTGTCTACCAAGTTTGTTCAAATAAAAGCCCTTGGGTTAAAATTGTTCCTGCTGGGGGGGGGGGGGGAATCATTGTTTTTCATTATATGTGTGTAGTAAAAACTTAACATCATGAAACATCTTCTAATGGGTGTTTTCCAAGTTGTTTGTTCAAATAAAAGCCATGGGGTTTAAACTGGCCCCGCCCCGGGGGGGCCTATATACAGGTGAGCGACCTCAGGGCCATCATGGCCCTCTTGTTTAATTGTATGACAACGGTCTCAAAGGCTAAAGCAATTAAAAGTACAGTTCTTGTGTTTGCTGACACCTACCAGAAGACCACACTCAATGACATGGTATCTCTGTTCATATCCATTTTTTTTTCTTGAGAAATTTTCTACCTGTGTCATAAGAGGCTTGTTCAAGCTTAGAATCTTTACTGGGCAGCTGCATCATTCTAAGTCCATCCCGATCTTTTGTATATGTGACTCCACATTGGCTACAATACTCCAGCTGTGGTCTAAGCAAACTCTCTGTTTTGTTGGGATGTTTCGTTTTATATAAAGTTAAGCGTATAAGGTGTTCCAGAGTGTTCATTCCAGAAGTAATGACATCACCCAAGTATTTTGCATCACTTTCTGTTCCTGTCTGACAATATAGTGTGTAAGTTAATTTATGGGGGTGTTTTGATCTGGTGCTGTTTACTAGTGCACACATTTAAATGGGTTTAATTCCATATCCCATATGTGTTTCCAACTAATTAAATCCTTTTCAAGATATTCTCCTGTGTACTGTTGTTTATTGTGATGTAAACAGCAGTATCATCAACAATTAACCGGATCTGTGAAACTATGCTTACGGGCAGGTTGTTTTCATATAGAATAGGAAGCGAAGCGGAGCGAGTATAGAGCCCCTGTGGGACACCTGATGAGATGCCTTATCTGACTTGTCACCTTTAACTTAGACAGGCTGTCATGTCAAAGACATTGGACTGTACTTTGTCGGGTTTGTTTTTATCGACTTTCTTAAAAAGGGAGTTAACATTTGCCTTGGTCCAGTCCGTTGGAATAGTGCCTGTATTGAACGACTTTTGAAAAGATTTGGCGACCAGGGGAGCAATCTGTTCATTTACATTTTTCAAGACTTTTGGTTTTAAACTGTCAGGTCGTCGAGGCAGTGGTGTTTACGTAATAATAAGAACGACGAAGATACATGTATATATTTAAATTTAAATTACACCGTTGCTGAACGGCTACTTTACACACATCAACACTGTTGCATATGAAAAAGAACAAATAAGCTCATTAAATAAAATTAAGATAGAAATTATTATATTCACAACTTTTATTCATGAAAACTAAACATTTATTTAAGAAAATAACATTTTAATGAATAATCGCGATGTTTTTTCTTTTCTTCAGTTTTTACAAGTATTAAATAAATGGAAGTAGATTTCATTTCTTCAAAGTCGTCACTGTCGCTATCGCTCAATATAATTTCATCAATACTTTGATTACTACTGTCACTCTATGTATCAGAGGAATTGGAATACTTCTTATCAAAGTTATCGGCAGAAGCAGAATTTTCTGTATTCACATCAGGAGCATTACCAGACGAATTACTGTTATGAGCATCAAATGAAGAATCGTTAGTGACATCTTCTGCATCGCTGACATCACCATAACATTAACCATCATAGAATTTCTCGGGTGTAATGTTTTCATGACTACATGTATCGGCAAAGAAATTTATTTCATTATCAACACTCTCTATAAAACAATTTTAAATATTAGCTTTCTGAAGGGGAGAGCACTAATAGAAATATCACTGCCACTTTCACTTTCATTTTGAGAATAACACATTCTACTGATTTCGTCATTGAGTTGTCGTTCCTGGTCCGAGAGATCTGGTAGAGAGGAAGCATCTTTAGCTCCATACATATCTAACCCATTATTGATTCTATCTAATATGAAAATCAGATTCTGAGATATCATCGATAACACTAAATAATTCTACTTCAGCTACTTTAGTACTTTGTTGGTTCTTAAGGTTGGCGAAAAAATCCTCAGTGTAACTGATATCTTCTAAATCAGAGTACATGTACACTGTATGGAAGTACTCTCTTGAAACACTCTTTATTTTTGCAGACTGGCATTTTGTAATATGTCTGTCCAAATTATGAACTTTTAAAAGATGAGTAAATAAATTACTGGATCAAATAAACTTCGTCTTGCAAGTTGAAGAGTAACATGGGAACCCTTTCGGTCCACATGTCTTTCTTTAATATGTCTTTGCAAGCTTCTCTGTGAACAATATTCACATCGCCATGCGTCACAAACATAAATGTTGCAAGTTCTATATATGTAGTACTACCGCCAAAGCTTGTGAAATTGTATAGAAATATATATATATATGACATAAAGAGCTGTCAAACGTGTTCCGCAAAATAAACACCCCAGAATGTATCCTCCAATTCCGTTGCACAAGTTTGACAAGAGCCGTTACATGAGTTTATCATGCAACAATACAAGTTTTAACCGCAGTCTTTCTTATAGGTTAAGTTTCTTTGACAAGTACATCCTTTTTAGTTTTGTTTTCATCACAATATTCATCATCTGACGCCTCTTACGGATACAAACAGTTCAGAGGTAGACCTATTTCATTTCCTAAAGAAACAACGACTTTTGCTACTAGAATCTCTCCATCATTACTTTTAAGCATTAAGAATAAACTTTATATGTTCTGGGACTTAAATATTTGTTGTCCCAGATATGTTGAATAATAATATTATAACCAGTTCGTGTTCTAGAACTCTGAACGTCCTGTGAACGTTGCCTTTGCTTTGTTAATCTTTAGTCTCTATCTTTATGATCTACTATAAATATTGATAATTATGTCATATTGGATAATGTACATGTATCTAACCTGGGACAGAAAGATTAACTTGTGTAGCTTCTGTCCCGGATTCTAACACTTACCAACATCATCCATATTTGTTTTTACATAATGATACTAAATACTATACGAGCCGCGTCACGACAAAACCAACATAGTGCGTTTGCGACCAGCACGGCGCGGACATAGTGCGTTTGCGACCAGCACGGATCCCGCGCAGTCTTTTTTGATATATTTAATTATGTTCCATGCTGTTCGCTATCAGTTTCTCTACTTGTACTAGGGTTGGTTAAAAAAACAGGATGGATCCTGATCAGACTGCGCGGATGTGCAGGGTGGTCTGGATCCATGCTGGTCGCAAACCCATTATGTTGGTTTTGTCGTGACGCTGCTCAAATGTACTACCAACACGATAAGTTCTATAGCTGTTATAATAGATCTATCATTATAGACCAATTAATTTTAACCAGTTCAATATGGTTGCTAGACGAATTCAGCATATCTTACCATAACAGACTAACATATTGCTTTTAATTTTAACAAATCCTTTATATTTCTCACTGTATTATTAAATTGAAAAAATTTTAAATTTTTAAAATTTTTTAAATTTTTAATTTAATGGGGGAAAAAGGAATTAATTTTAAGAAGTGAACATTAAATTCCCCAAAGCAGGAGAAAAAGAATAATAATAAAATTTTTTTATGTGATACGAGCAATTTTTAAGCGAAATTAACAAAATGAGGTTATATTTGATCAGACTGAAGCGTTTGTGAAGATATTTTGCAAATTTTGTGATGACTGCAAATGGTTTAATATTACTTTATAACCAATAAAACATTTAGTGGTGTTAATCATTCTCGAGTAACCTCCCCTTGCATAAGTGCTCTCTTCCTCCAAAATTATCTTGTTGAGGGTGTGTGTGAAGAGTTTGTTCCAGTAAAGAATTTAATCTTTACAAGATATTTTAACTAGTAACCATCATGTCTGAAGTAAGTATTATCCTATTTTTATTTTACTCATGATATACAGTATATTTGAAATCAAATACATGTAAGATATTGATTAAATTACATACATGTGTGCATGTTGACTCATGCCTGGAGATGGTAGTCAGACTATTCTCTCCCTTACCAGTTCCTCCCCTGACGTTTCCTCCCTGACGGTTCTCTCCCTATTTTGGGGGAGAACCGTCTGCATATTTGCAAATAAGCAGACAGTTCCTCCCCATTTTTATTAATGCATTATTATTGAAGTATTTAGATGTAAAATAATGGGTAAGTTAAATTTAAATTGATATGAATTAGAAAAAAAAAAAATTAAATTGAAGTATTAAGATGTTAAATAAATGGGTAAGTTTATTATTAATATTGTATTGAAGTATTTAGATGTTAGACAAATTGGTAAGTTTATTATTAACTGATAAAAATTACAAAAAAAAAATATGGATGTATTAAGATGTTTAATAAATTGATCAATTAATTATTATTGATGTAAATTAAAAAAAGAAATCATTGCAGTATTTAGATGTTTAATATATGGGTAAGTTGATATAAATTAGAGAAGAAAATATTAAGGCATAATAATTAATTATTCTGATTTTTTTAAATTAGATGTAATGTACACTTTTTAATGTGTTTAGTCATTGAAAATAATTAAAATGAATCATTTACTTGATTAGGATAATCATTAGGTATTAACTATATTGTGTTGTATTTATTTCATTTATTATTTTTTTAATAAATAAGAATAAAATTTATTAGAAAAAAAAAAGATAAATTCATGCATTTTTATACCCAAATGTCATATCTTTGTATAATGAAGAAAGGTGTTCAATACACATGTGCATTAAGTTTGCTGTCAGAGATAATTAGGGTGTTTATTAAGTCATTACTCAAAAATCAAGGTGTTGATTAGATTAAAATAGCTGTGAAAAGATGTTGAGGACTAAATATTTTTAGTAATTATTTGGTCTTATATATTGTTTCAAGTGAATGTCTACATTTCCTTTAATCAATTTTGTATAAAAGTATGTGAAATGTGATTGTATAGTGTATACCAGTTGTTGCTTATTTATTTTCTAGAACATACCGTACTTGTTACCATGTTATTTGCTATTTAACAAATAAATAAATATCACTTGACCTTAACATAATTACAGGTGTATATCAATCACTGTCCAGTTATCTTAATCTCTCATAATGAAGGTGTTGATAGGATTAAAATACCTCAAAAAGGTGTTAAATTAGTATTATTTACAAACACTTTTCAGATAAACATAAAATGCACTTAACATCAAACACATTCTTTACATAATCTTCATTAAGAAATGTTATTAGATTAAGTCAAAACTAAAATGATAACTTATAAAAATATAATTGGGGGAGAACTGTCTGCTTATTTCAAATTTGGGAGAGAACCGTCAGGGGAGGAAATGGTTTGGGAGAGAACCGTCAGGGAGAGGAACTGGTAAGGGAGAGAATAGTCTGTCATTCCCTGGAGATGTTACCGATTTTGACCTTTGTACATAATCTCATTTGATAAGAAATAATCAAATGATAGTTATGTTTGTAAGTGAAATCAATGACATTTTGATTTTTTGTAGGATTAGTAGTACTGCCAGACCAGTTTACTGTCGCACAACGTCGAAATAAAAGCGACATTTATAAAGTTATGGAAGCCAGAACTACAGTTGTTTAGGCAGTAGCGGATAGCTAAGGAGATCGGCGCTGCTTATGTCTTTAATAATAATATTCAGAAAATCAAATTGATGCCATTCAGTAGTCAAACTACTTCCCTTTTTAAAATAAAATATTTTTAGCAGTATCTTTGACATTACATGACCTCGTACAAATGGTCAATGAAAGTACACGAAATGACAATATTCTTGATCTATTGCTCATTTCAAACCACACTCTTGTTAACAACGTCAAAGTCATACCTGGCATATCAGATCATGACATCATATCCACAGAAATATCTTCTAGGCCTACCCTCCTCAAACAAAAACCTCGTACTTGCACCTTGTATAAAAAGGCAAAATGGACTGAGTTGAAAACCTTCATTAAAACCTCAACATCTGAAATACTTCAAAAAGCTGAATCTTTGTCTGTTGAAGAACTTTGGTCGCAGTTCAAACACACACTTGAGGATGGCATATCAAAATTCATACCCACTAAAAGAATTACAGCTAAACCATCTTTGCCCTGGATAACAAAATCCATTAAAAAATTAATTCATAAAAGAGATCAGCTCTATAAAAATATTAAAAAACCAAAAACAAATAAAAATAAATCTGATCATGAGCAATGGCTAAAATTTAAAAATTTGAAATCGCAAATAAAAGCTAGAATTAAACAATCATATGAATCTTACTTAGAAAACATCCTGAACCTTGCAGATGATGATGATGAAACTAACACACAAAGTAAAGTTTGTACCAAAAAACTATACTCACTTATAAAAAACTCTAAACAAGATTCACAAAGCGTGTCTCCATTAAAAGATCAAAAGTCAGGTTCTCTCAAAATTAATAACACTGAAAAAGCAAACATTCTTAACAAACAATTTCAATCAGTTTTCTCACCAATTATACCACTCACACTTAAAGATCAATGTATACAAAAAATGAGACTCATGGATCCCAGAAAGTATTGTCAGTACCCACAAATGAATGACATCATCATCGGTAGGGCAGGTGTACTAAAGCTCCTCGCCAACCTCAATGCCAACAAAGCTGCCGGCCCTGACAACATTAGACCAATTGTCCTGAAGGAGCTGAGAGAAGAGATTGCTGACATCGTTGCAGTTCTTTTCCAAAAATCCCTGACCACCGGTAATATTCCGAATGACTGGACCCGTGCAAACGTATGCCCTGTCTACAAAAAAGGTGATACAAGTGATCCAGCAAACTATCGCCCAATTTCCCTTACATGCATCCTCTGTAAAACACTCGAACATATAGTTGCCTCTCAACTATCCTCTCACTTTACCACCCACAACATACTCTTTGATCTTCAGCATGGATTCAGAGAAAGACGATCATGTGAGACACAACTCATTGAACTTACTGATTACTTTGTGAACAACCTTTCAAATGGCAAACAAACAGATCTTATACTTCTTGATTTCTCCAAAGCTTTCGATAAAGTAAACCATCTTAAACTCTTAGATACCCTGCAAGAACATGGTGTTTGTCCTCAAATTCTAAACTGGATACAGTCATTCCTTATTGGCCGTAGACAGACAGTAGTTGTGGATAGTGACTGCTCATCTGAAGTCCCAGTTACCTCTGGAGTGCCCCAAGGCTCGGTCCTAGGGCCCCTCTGTTTCCTTCTATATATCAACAAGTTACCATCTTCTGTCCTCAAATCCCAAGTCAGATTATTTGCAGACGACACTGCTGTATACCTAACCATCAATTCCTCCTCAGACCCCCAAACTCTCCAACATGATCTAGACAATATGGTTCTGTGGGAGAAGCAGTGGGACATGGAGTTTAACCCTTCAAAATGCCAAGTCATCCATATCACCAAAAATAAGACCATAATTAAACACAAATATATGCTCCATGGCCAAATCCTAGAGTCTGTTACAAATGCTAAATATCTCGGACTAGATCTATCTGCTGACCTTAAATTTAATACACATATATCCCGAATAACTTCCAATGCAAACAGATCCCTTGGCTTTATTAAAAGAAATGTCATCACTAAAAATGAGAAAGTAAAAGAACTAGCATACAAGTCCCTGGTCCGCCCACAGGTTGAATATGCCTCATCTATTTGGTCTCCTTATACTAAAACCAATATTGACAAAGTTGAGATGATCCAGAGACGTGCAATAAGATGGGTTAAAAGGGATTACTCCCCTCACTCTAGTGTCACAGCCATGCAGGAAGAACTGGGCTGGCGATCCCTTGAACATCGCAGACTGGACTGTAGACTGATAATGTTTTATAAGATATACCATAACCTAGTTGCAATTAATCTCCCAACTTATGTCCAAACCCCACATAGATTAACCAGACATATGCATCCCTTATCCCTACGTCAAATACAGGTATCCTCCGACTACCATAAGTACTCTTTCTTCCCTCATAGCATTATACTATGGAATAAACTTCCTAGTAACATTGCCACCCTGCCCAACCTGAGTCAGTTCAAACAGGCAGTGGTGGGTTTGCAGTACTAGTCTTACTCCCAGTGTTTTTAAACTATTTTATCTCTTATCATCTTGTTTCACTATTAACATTTTAACCATGACTAGAATACATTTTCAGTCTCACCTTCCAAGCATGTCAATGTTTGGACTTTTCTTTTTAGCTTTTCTCTTCACCTTTTACTAACAATCCGACGTGCACTAAATTCCTGCCTTTAACACTCGTAAGAGGGGTTGGCAGTATCCAGAGATAGATAGATAGACATGTAGTACTCTTTGTTTATGTTCGGCATATAGTTCAGGTAGTAGCGGATAGCTTTGGGGAGTATGGGATAGGTAGGTGAAGGTCAATGAAGGCGAGTCTCAAAACGTTCTAAATTTAGTATTTACAAAGTACATGTCACAGAAACATGTTTTGGGGTTACTGAAATGAAAAATGTTACATTTGATAGTAATCTTTCAAATTTTTCTACAAGTAAATAAATATATAAATAAATATCTGGTCAACAACTTATGATGCAACTGTGACATGTAATAGTTTGAACATAGCTATAGTTTACCATAGTTATTTCTTTAAAAAATCTATAATTATATCAACCATAGTAAATAGCTTTATTTATTTAAAAATTATTTATTGATTTTGTAACATCACAGTCATGATACAAGCAATGATAACTGTATAATATGTTGCAACTTAACAAATAAAAACAATATTTCCTAAGATCTGTATAGATGAATTAAAAAGTAAACTATATATTCTGAATACATAAATTATAAAAATTTTGCAATAAACTTGAGCTGAGCATGTGTATTAAGTATGAAAAATGAAACAACAAAGTTCAATGAAAAAGAGGTCTGTTTTACATTAAAGCCATTATCAATCTTATAATCTAGTTGAAAGAAGAGTTAATAATGATGGTATATTCAAAGTATCAATACAACTGAGTTAAAATTATAAAAAGATAGAATAAATAATATTACACCATTAAAACTGGGATATTTTTTTGTTAAAGTCTATTTTTAATCCACTTTTGACGGCGTTTTGACACATAAAAAAAAATTTGAGACCACCCCCTAATGTAAAATCCGTTACTGACAGAAGCACTTGCTATTCATTTTCAATAATTTTTAGTGTCAGTAGGAGTTATATCTGTAAAAGCTTTTGCAAAATTATAAACAAATGATTTTTACACCAAATCATGTCAATATTTCATTACTTTACTTGGTGTTGATCAATAGTTTTTTGTTTATTTCTTTTGGAAGCGCTTATAAACAGTCTGACAGTGACAACATCCGGTTACCTCGTTCTGATTTATGTAAGAAAAACTCGCTGTGCAATTTGAAATAAATAAAACAAAATTAGCCACGGATGGCAAATATATGACTCTTTTTGATGGTATAATTGTATTATTTTGAAAAAGGCATATTTGATGGAAAGGAGCATTGTTACTGCCATGTTATCCGCTATACCCTAAAATCCGCTACTGCCTAAACAACTGTACTGTAGACTGTAGTGTAGCTTTTAATCAAATTTTTCAGGCTCATTGAATGCCCGCAGAATGTGTGATAGCCAAACAACATTGGCTACATTATATCCTGGCAGTTAACTTCAGTTAGCAGGGTGTCCGTTTGACCCTTGAAATGACTCTTTGACCCAGGTCCCATCCAAAATTTCCAAAAGGCCTGATTTGACCCTCAGGATTTTAGCTGGAGGATCTAATTTTGTTAAAATCATGGGGATTTGACCTTGTAGTCAGTAAAACTTAGTCAAAATGACCCTCAGGATTTCGTGGCTAGTGGACACCCTGAAGTTAGTTGGAGGTTGCCAGTAAACTGGACATCAAAAGTCAGAAATTAATTTCAATTCTTTTTGTCGAGCCCAATTGCAATATTAGTCTTCACGAAAAAATTTAAAAAGCACAGGACTTTCGGGCCAGTAAAATTTCAAATCTTACTGGACCTGGTGATTTTTAGCCGGACCAAATACATAGATAGGTAATGAATTGATGGGTAAAGGAAAACACTTTATCATGCTACCCTTGATATTTTTGAAAGAAGCATAATACTTCTTGTATTCTGGGCCATATGTTGACAGCTTTGAAAAATCTATAAGGACCAAATGTTTAGGCAAAATAGACTAGAAATTCTAGAATTGAACATGAACAACGCACTTTGCTCCAAACAAATCACTTTTACACAAAATATTTACTTAACTCAATAATCACAAAATCATAGCTATATAATGACCATAATAAAACAATGGTTTAATTCCGTAACTGTACGGTGCGCCGGGTGCGGTACGGAAAATATCCAAGAAAAAAATGGCGGCCTCCATTACTCAATACAATTTAGACATCTCTTGCCGTGTTTTGAACATTTAGGACAGAATTGATGGGTTTCATTTGCAAAAAGGCAGAAAGATAAATCTTTTAGAGAACCATGCTTCATTATTATGATGAATTTTTCTATAATATTTTTTCATGGCCAAAAATCTACTGGCCCGTCGGACCACCAACCTTGCAATAATCACCGGACCGATGCTGAATATAGTGGCCTCGGGCCTTGGACTGGCATTAATTTCGAAGACTGGGATATATCAAGTCTATATCTTTCTCCGTTTTAAAAGGATTACAAAATAATTTGTTACAAATGTTCATCATCATGGGTTGCTGTGTCGCATACAAAACTCAAAGGTCAAGGTCACACTGAAAGTTCAGTGCTAAACCCATGTCCGGAGCGTAATTTCCACATGCATAGAGGGATTTTGATATAACTTGGGACAAATCTTTGAGTGTTGAGCATAAAATTCAGGTGTCTGTGGTAAAGATCAAGGTCACACTTTGTGGTCAAAGGTCAAAAAACAAAATAGAATATACATTTGCAAGTATAACTGTTATATACATTATCAAAGATGATTTTATTATAATGTAGCGCAAATGTTCTCCACGTGGAGTTGAATTGTCTCACACAAAATGAAGGTCATTGTCACAAGTGATCAAATGAAAATATTAAAATTTGTTTGTTGGCACTGTATCTTGCTTATGCTTTGAAGTATTATGCTTAGTGGTCAGAGTTTTTTGTCAAGCCAGCTGGCGCTGAGCTCAATATAGTTGTCAAAATGGCTTTCAGTGTTTGTATGTGCGGGCTTGCATCCAAACTTTCCATACCATAATTTCTTTGTGCACGGAAGAATTTTCAAAAAACATGAATTGAGTTTTTTAGGCACAAATGTTCATCATGAGACCTTGTGTCATGTACATGAACCAGATCACTGGGTCAGAGGTCAAGGTTGCCTAAAATGATGCATTGTCAAGATTTTGCCTTAGGTATAAAGAGGATGTGTTGCACACTCCTCACCTATGTATACATCTTTTTCCTTGATCTGAAGCTTATAGGTTCAGGTTTGAATTCTGACAAGAGGTCTCGACATTCTGTCTGTGGGCATGTCTTGTTTATCCAAGTTAATGATATGGACAGTCAGAAACATTATATACCATTTATAACTTTAATGATCTATTGATTTGTAAATTTTAGGGTTCTGAGAATTAGCCCTACCTTTAATCATATGAAATGTACTTCCAGTCATTGAAAAATTGATAAAGTTTGAATTTAATGTATGTGTTTGTATGTGAATGAACAGTCACTTATAAAGTGGCAGAATGTTTGGTTATCATTGTTAATACTGATAACAATTAGACCCATTTCAATAAATGTTATGACTACGTGTACATGTTCATTTTCAATTTCAGGCATATCTTGATGGAAACTGATTAGAAGTTACAGGTCAGACAACAGAGTAGAGCTTGAATGGTCAGTCTGTACAGATGCGCAGACTGGATTGACTCTAAATTAGTGGGAAGGGCTAATATGAGTGGACAGGAATAATCTTTTTCAGTACTAGCAGTTTAGGTATTTATCTAATGTTTTCATTTCTTCATTGAAACAGGCATTTAACAAAGCAGCAGAAGATGTTAAGGCATTCACAAAGAAGCCTACAGATGAAGAATTGCTGGAAATTTACAGTCTATTTAAACAGGCCACTGTAGGTGATGTTAACACAGGTATGTGCATGTTTATAAGGAAGTCTTGAAATGTTCCATGTACATTGGATTACTATTTTTATGCCCCCACAAAGTGGGGTGCATATAGCGTTGCTTTTGTCCGTCCGTCAGTCCGTCCCGAAATCTTGTGAACGCAAGTCCTCTAAAACGGGATGGCAGATTTTGCTTAAACTTTCAGGGATGAACAACCTTAATGTGTAGATGGTATTAAGGAAGGAATTTTAGCTGCGACCAAATTTAAGAGAATTATGGCCCTTTGTTGATTTTTTCACTATATACTATGTAGAAATTTTGTGAACGCAACTCCTCTTAAACCGGATGGCAGATTTTGCTTAAACTTCCAGGGATGAACAACTTAAATGTGTAGATGGTAGTAAAGGAAGCAATTTTTGCTGCGACCAAATTTAAGAGAATTATGGCCCTTTGTTGATTTTTTCACTTTTTACCATATAGAAATTTTGTGAACACAACTCCTCTTAAACCGGATGGCAGATTTTGCTTAAACTTCCAGGGATGAACAACCTTAATGTGTAGATGGAAGTAAAGGAAGGAATTTTTGCTGCAACCAAATTTAACAGAATTATGGCCCTTTGTTGATTTTTTTCATTATATACCATATATATGTTGTCAGTGGGGGCATCCGTGTCCTTTGGACACAGTTCTAGTTTTTTTTAAAAAGTCAAATTTAAATGTTGAATTATAAAAAGTCATCATTTTCATGTGGTTCATTACAGGGACTTCATTTGGGTCACTGGGCAAAAAGAAAATGGAGAAAATTAATGTATAGCTTAAAAAATTATTCACAATCAATGGAAAACTATAATTTATTATGTTAATTATAACAGAATAATTATTGAGCTCTTTGAAGAATATGAAAAGCAATTGTACCCACCCAGGCATCTGTGTCACACTGTGCCGACTGTGGTTAAGTTTTTATCTCCAAAACTACTGAAGAGAATGGGTTGAAACTTCACTTCCTTATTTGGGAGCATAATTGGAGGTTACAATCCAAGGTCTAAACTCTAACATGGATATTGACAGAATTATGGCCCTTTTTGAACTTAAAAATTCTACATTATCCAGGCTATTGTTTTACTATCAAGCATTGAGAATAGATAAGCATGCTGTCCCCCCGACAGCTCTTGATCAGCAATATTCTTTTTGTTGCTTACAAAAGAGAACTTTCTGAATAAATAATGAATATAAGTAATTTTTGTTGATTGAGATTGGTTAAGTTATTTAATTAAAGTTTTTAGAAAAATTAGCACATATGTGTAGGGGTGCTAGTTTAAGAGAGACAATGTTTACTTTACTAAAACATTTAATTTCAGACCGGCCTGGTATGTTAGATTTCAAGGGTAAGGCAAAGTGGGATGCTTGGTCAGGAAAGAAAGGTGAATACTTTAATATATCATTGTGTGAATTTTTATTTTTGTTCAAATAAATTATTTATAGCCAGCTGACTACTTTTATGTATAATGTCAGCAATTAACTTCAAGATGTTGTCTTTTAAATGACTTGTCTGAAAATCATCAAGATTTTAGTAAGGTCCATTTTCATGCACGGATAAATAGTTACACCAAACTCATACCAAACCTATTGTTACCAATTACAACATATTATACCTAACCCATACATGTTGTGTTGAAGGGATATGTAAGAATCACTTTGTCACAATTTTGTTCTATCTTGTAATAATTTCATTTTGTCTACCTTCACTAAGTTTCATTGGCAGCAGTTTGTTATGCTGAAGGGTTACAGGCTCTTTAAGCAAGCCAAGTTATGAAACTTTCAAATTGCATGTTGACAAAGTTTTGCCACTACTGCTTTTGTTAGTTACAGTAAATTGCCACAATCAAAGTTTTTCAAATTTGATTGGAAGATTTATAACCTATGGACACAATAACCACCAGAAACAATTTCTTTTTATAATTATTTTTCTACTAGATAACTTATCCCCATCCCCCTATCAAAGTCTACTACTATGAAGAACATTGGTGGGTATAATGAACAACAATGCAGAGATGGGTCTAAAAACCACATTTATGCTGCAAAATCTTTCATTTTTACATAAAGAAAAAGAAAAAAATTATTCATCATTGAAGGTTTGAATCGAGTGACTTTTACTCAATGTTTTTATCTGGTATGAAATTTAAAAATCGTGGTAGAGGCTCTATTTAAATTAAGATATTTCTAAAGGAAAAAGAAGTGAAAGAAACATATATTGATAGCCTAAAGAAAGCCTATACTATGTTAACACAGTACTTAATAGTTTACATATATACCCTTAAGTAAATTTTTAAAACACAGTATATCAATGTATGTACATGCATTTCATATAATTTGGTTTTACTGTTGTAGGGTTGGACAAATCTGATGCAGAAAACAAATATATAGAATTGGTAGCATCTTTAAAAGATAAATATGCATGTAAGTTAAAATCTTTGAAAGAAAAATAACAAACTTGTGTTGAAGTTTTTCAGTCATTTGCAACTTTAACCTTATTCTTTGAATTATGAAAATTAACATTATTTTGAAATTATTTGTAAAGGTATTTCTATGAGTAAATGCTTTTAATTCTAAGCTCATGCAAATTTTCATTATGTTAAAATTAAACACATTGAAAATAATTAATGTTCAATAAATTGTGAAAAGGGGCACTTTTTGGCCTGTAAATGAGGGCCAATTAAGGCCCCAAATCTTCTTGAATTAATGGCAGTCAAAGTTTGACTGATTTGTATTTACCGGTACTTATAATATTATGTAGTTTTGGCACCATTGTGCGGGTAACTTGTAGCTTCATTGCACCAGTCTTAAGTTAGCTGGATTAACCAGAGACAAGTTTGCGACTACAGTGTGACTCAAACCTGCTGTTCCTAGGTTATAAGACATTCACTTCAACCACTAAGTCATGGCTTCCTGATTCTTGTATCTAAAACCCATCCAATGCAGGTGTTCATTAATATAGACTGATTCTTGAAATCTTCTTAGTTGCCATTAAACATCACAAGTATCAAAAAGAACTTGAAAGCCATTTGAAGAATACGGATTACCATTTTGAGAATATAAACATGTATCAAAATGTTCTGTGGCAACAAATTTAAACTTAGTTATTTTAAATACATATATTTAGTTACTTCAGAGTTTCACAGCAGATTTATATTTGAAGTTATTTTATAATGATAATTTTAACAGTAATAACTTCATGATTTTAAGTGATGCTTATTTTTATTCTTTATGTTTGTTTTTTTTCAGAGTTTGACACTGGATTTTAAAGTTCTGCCATTCCTAAATCACATGAAGTCCAGAATCATTTAGTATATCAAACACAGAGACAATTAAACTCCTATGACAAATTGCTTATGAAATATTTCTGCATAATTCTTACATAATTATACAAGGCTGTTTTTAACCTATGTAAAGGTCAAATTTTGAAATTTCTTCTTATGCTGAAATAGGTAGTTTACTTCTTTAAAAACAATATTTAATATAGTAATTGTATGTTTTTTGCTAAATATTTGATGATTATTTATTTAATTGAAGTATAATTTTGCTGTCTGTTGTCAATTTACTAATGAATATACATGTATATCATATAAGAACAAAGAAGTAACATTATTATCACTATTTTTTTGGGATCAAATTTACTTACTGTGTTCAGTTTTTGTTTTTGTATAAATATATATATGAAAAATTAACAATTGGATTAAAGTAAGATGTGTTTTAAATGTTTGCTAGTCTTGTAATTTAGAATTATATATTATTTTGTCATTTTACATGCACATTTCATTCGGATTCCCTTTTTTCCAACTCAGGGGTTACCTACCATTCTTGTTGAACAAACATGGTCCGAGCATGTTTTTTATCCAAATGTTATAAAAAAAGGTGTATTGTTTAATAACTGTTAAGATGATGTTAAACAGAGGGTAATTAGTTATTTTATACTAACACATCAATTAATTCTCTTTATACAAATAATCAGATGTGTTCATGGTAAACTTCTACATTTGTGTTTTATCTATTTTAATTCACTTGCATGAAAATTTTATTGATTTTGAGCTGAAACTACTGTACTTTCGGGACCACATTTTTTTTTATTATTTGCTTTGTATTCTTTATCAACTTAAATCAACTAGTTTTGATAGAAAAAAAATTGCAGAAAGTATAATTGGGGAAACAAAACATCTGACTTAGAAATGACTAGTACTGTGGAAACTAGAAAATTTAAAAAAAAAGAAAGACATTTGTTTAATGTGAAAACTGGTTGAAAAAGAACAAAATGTGAAAAGTAGAAAAATGAGAAATTATTGAAAATGAAATGTGACATTAATAAATTTTGACAGTTTCTTGTAGTAGCGTCTGCTTATACATATTTTTAGTGTTCTGTGTGTCCTTTCTGTATGATTTTACAATAATTTGCTATTAATATATTGAGCATTTTTTTAAAGAAAACAAGAAAAAACTAAAAGAAAACCCACTTACTTTGTACCAACTTTTACATCTGTATGTTCTTCATCAAAATTTGTAACAGGTTTTTTCTTTGGTTTTATTAATTTAAAAGAATCACTTAAAGGGTAACATTCAATTTGAATATACATATATAATTATGACAGAGTTGTGTGTAATATTCATAGAAAACAATTCCATATTTTATGTATCTTTTTTTTATTTTTCCATTGTTTGGTATTTATATTTATACAATGTTTTATACTGCTCAATATATATGAGCCGTGTCATGACAAAACCAACATAATGGGTTTGCGACCAGCATGGATCCAGACCAGCCTGCGCATCCGCGCAGTCTGATCAGGATCCATGCTGTTCGCTATCAGTTTCTCTACTTGTAATAGAGTTGGTAAGCGAACAGCATGGATCCTGATCAGACTGCGCGGATGCGCAGGCTGATCTGGATCCGTGCTGGTCGCAAAGCCATTATGTTGGTTTTGTCATGACACGGCTCAATTATCAATTGTCATTTCAATGTGTTCTTCAGGACATCTTTTTAATCATGGCAAATACGGATCAAATAAAATCTTTTAAAAAAGTCATATTTAGTTTTGTTTTTGATTTTATTATAATAACATTGAATTGTAGCAACAGCAATGGTTACTTTCTTATACCGCTAGGATCCACATGTAAATGATGTCAGTGCAGTCTGACTGTGACCTGTTGGTTGCAATTTACACATCTGCTGGTGGCAATTTACCTATCAGTTTGTGGCATAACAACAAGTTATACTAATTGTGTAAAGGAATGCTACTGAACAACTTTTTACAGTTTCCTGAACACAAATATGTATTTGCATAACATAGGTGCCAAAACATCAAAAGGGAGTGTGAGAGATCTGATTTTAAACCAAACTATCATAATTATGCCCCTGATATAGTATGGTCAAATATTGTAATGTGCTTTAGTGAAACAAATACATTTACAGAGTAGGAAGAACAATGTCTTAACACTTAACACAGCTCTTGAGAGATAAAAGCTTTCAATTTGAGTCTTCAAACCCCAAACATTCCATATACAAAATAATATAAATGCCATTTACCTTGTTTATTTTAACAATTCTTTAAGATTAAACACTAAAAAGAATCTTACACCTGCTGCCAGTTCAGACGCGAATATCTAGCTTGACGAGAATATCTAGCTTGACAGTAACTGATTACAGTGGTAAAAAGGCTGCTAGTTACCCAAGAACTAGATATTACCATCTGTAGTGTCAGCTGGTGTATGATTCTTTTCTTACATATTACATATAAATCACATTTTGTAGAAAAAAAAGGAAAAAATATTTTCATAAAGCACTTTTATCTTATAGAAGTGTAAAAATTAACAACTTTTTAGCTTGACTATTCGATAAGAATAAGTAGAGCTATTGTAGTCACCCGAGCGTCGGCGTCTGCGTCGGCGTAACCACTTATGTTAAAGTTTTTGTAATAGTTTTTTTATATTTTCAAAGTGCATTGACATATGGCTTTGAAACTTTGCACACTTGTTCACCATCATTACCCCAACCTATAGACAGGAGGAGGTAACTGTATCAAGCATTTTGACAGAATTATGCCCCTTTTTCGACTTAGAATTTACGTTAAAGTTTTTGTAATAGTTCAAATATTTTCAAAGTCCATTGACATATGGCTTTGAAACTTTGCACACTTGTTCACCATCATTACCCCAACCTGTAAACAGGAGGAGGTAACTGTATCAAGCATTTTGACAGAATTATGCCCCTTTTTCGACTTAGAATTTACGTTAAAGTTTTTGTAATAGTTCAAATATTTTCAAAGTCCATTGACATATGGCTTTGAAACTTTGCACACTTGTTCACCATCATTACCCCAACCTGTAAACAGGAGGAGGTAACTGTATCAAGCATTTTGACAGAATTATGCCCCTTTTTCGACTTAGAATTTACGTTAAAGTTTTTGTAATAGTTCAAATATTTTCAAAGTCCATTGACATATGGCTTTGAAACTTTGCACACTTGTTCACCATCATTACCCCAACCTGTAAACAGGAGGAATTATCTGTATCAAGCATTTTTTTTACTATCAAGCACTAAGAATAGTCGAGCGTTGCTGTCCTACCGACAGCTCTTGTTTAAAACGGCAGAACGACATCATCCTTACATAAAAGACAGCAACATAATGACTTGACTAGAATGTCATGTATATGGAAGGAAGGAATTGTTAACAAACCTAAGAACTACGGTAGGTCTATGTCATTCAAGGGAGTGTATCAAGCCACTTACAAAGAAACTGTAAAATAATTTTACTTCCCTTTGTTTGTCTAAGTTATATAGCAAGATTTGTACAAATGGATGAAAGTCTATTGCCCTGGTTTTTATCTGTAACCATTGAAAGAAGAGAAAAATTAAAATGAAGCAAGCTTCTGGGTCGGATTTATTTAATATAATTACAATAATACCAGATTTTCAACATAACGTACAATTACATCGTTTCAATAAGTTTGTTTGCAAATTAATATTTTCAAGTGTTTCTATAGAAAACAACTACTCATTCAAGAATTTTCTTTCTTCATATTATTGTAAAACAGATTAAATCATTTCCCTCTCATACAAAAACAGAATTGAATCAGCTTTTACTCTTGACGTGACGAAGCAGAGTGGTTCATACTCCAGTGCCGCCACATGAGTTAAATAGGGTGGACAAGAGATCCTTCACACATAAAACTTGAAAATCATCATTTGCCCATAGCAGTGTCAGAGTGACTTTAGATGTGGGCTAATATACCCATTTAATACACTTGTTACTATATATAGTAACAAAATTGCCTATGATTTCAACTGATTATGAGTGTTTCGTGACCTATTATGAGTTTGCGGCCCGGGGCCGAGAAATAGTTATCAGCCCGCAGAACATGTGCACGTGCACAAACTGAAACAATGACGTCATATTTTACGTCATCAAACAGTTAACTGTGAAAGTGAAAGTAGATTGTCAGCACGAATCGCTTTATTTTTATTGTGAGAGCTTAAGCGTATTTAGTACAAACACATATTTGTTACTATTGAAATTTGAAGAAATAATACGACAAATTCATTCTGAAAAAAAAAAGAAAATAAAACTTGCTTCTAGATTCTACTGTTTTGAACACACAAACAGTAAACATCTCTGTACAGTATAGAACAGTAGAAGAGTACAGTAGACAAAAATTTCAACGAAAGAACTTCAAAGTAGATCCTATTTGTTGTTGTTTTTTTTTTAAATGCTACTAGATCTATTAGATTTACCAAGTGTATTAAAGACATTAATACACGTCAGAGTAGGGCCAGAAGGTGATAATCGGCCCTGAATGAATAATGGCCCTCGGGCTAAAGCCCTCGGGTCCATTATTCATTTTCCGGGCCGATTATCACCTTCCAGCCCTCTCCTGCCGTGTATTAACCTCTAAGTAATTGAAGGACTGGTATAATCAAACTTTTACAGTTAAAGTTTCATGCTGCACTTAAAAATACTGATCACAACAGTAGGCTCAATATGTTGTGCTTAATCATCATCAATATACATGTATTTACCAAGTTGTAACTGTAAAAAGTTTGTTTTTAAAGCTCAAATGCACTTTTCCCTTCATTATATGCTTACATGAATATTGACAAATAGGGGTGTCGTTAATTCTTATATAAAAGCATACTATTTATCGCCTTAATCTTTAACCACCTAATCAACCATTCATTTTTACGGGTTTAGCATAATAGCATAGTAGTAGAGTGTTCCCTCCGTGAGTGTAGACTAGAGACACTGGTTTGAATCCTGGAAAAGGCATTTTTTCTTTTCCTATTTTTTGGTTTTTGTACGTATGTTTTGTACAAGGAACTACAATATAACGGACTTATATAACTGAGAATGTTTTACTATCTCATGAGATGACCTAGTAATGACCCAATAAATTCTGAATATATACTTCATTATTCCACTTTGAACAATTAAATCAGTAATATGAAGATCTCTATTTGTAAGGAAACAATAAACTGTCATTTTCCCATCACATCTTAAGACACAATATTTATGAAACTTGTCAAAACTAATTTTATGGGCCATAATATTATGTTGTTTTTATTGTAATTGTAAAAGGTTTTTTCAAGTTATTTTATAAGTCTTTTTTAAGGTCAATATATTAGAGTGAAATCGCTGGCTTGCTTTCAGAAAATCTAGCATCACAATAAATGGTGGAAGTTTACCATTGCATGTGTAGATATAAAATTCACAAAACAAACATGTACTGTGTATGTTTTTTAGAAGATACAAATTTAAAGAAATATTACCATTGAAAAATATGTATGTACATTGTAACTTATTATTGTTAAATATATTCACAAATCGTCACCGAAGTGCAGTTACAAATTAACTCCTATTATCACATAAACTTTGAAGGCGTAGGATTGTAATGAACCCATTTTAATAAAAATGATATTACACTAGTGTCATAACACTTTAACATGACATCATTTGCAATATATACAAACATAGAGTGTTATAATTTCGGTGTGTTAATGAAAAATTACTCTTTTTAACTGTAAACCTTTCCTTATTTTGATATATGATAAATAGAATATCGTAGATTCAATACTAAATTTATTTCACTTGTTGCATAAAACAATATTATGATTGCAAGAGGCTGACATAATGTGATTTTATCCAACTCATTCAATAAATTTACAATTAAATTTTCACTCGTTCAATACCCTCTATATATATTATGCAAGGAGTTAACCTGTAACTGCACTAAGGTGACAAAATTACTTTGATTTTTATTTGTTTGGGTCATCAGACCAAAATTTCACACTCTAATGCTGTTAATTGCAAGTGCCGAAAGCAGTCCGCTTTTTTGAAGCGGTTACTTCCCTTTATATGTAAACTAACGCCGAAAAATTCAGGGGAGATCACAGCGGAAAGATGGTCAAATGACAGGTGCATTAATTTTCAATCAAAATAATTGCCGAATGGTCGAAG